TCGGGCCGGGCGGCGAGCGCCTATGGCAGCCAAACCGAACATCATTGCTCGAAATGGAAGTCCACGGCTACGCGACAGGCGTCGTTCTCGCTCGAACTTGCCCGCCCGTGGTTGCGGAGGCAGCTGGGTGTGGCAAAGTCGGCATCGCATGCCGGACAGGCGAGAGCGCCAAGGGAATGTGACGAGCGCGCATGTTTACGCGGAGGGCACTGCGCCTGGGAAGGGAACATGAGTCCTCTGCGGTAAACAAGCCACACAAAGCGGTGTACTCACGTAGAAGGCGTCCTCTTCCGCCTCTGCCTTGCGCTTTTGTAGAACAGGGGTTGAAGGCCGTGTTGGGTGATCTGCAAAGTCAAAAGTAGACGTAAGTACAGGCGAACGTGAGCGCGCAGGTGGTTGTGTGCTGACCTTCAGGTAATGTAGACGCGAGCATCATATCACGCCACGACTCGATCCGGCGCAGGCGTGCACGGAAGGTGTCGTCGATGCGGGGTAGCGGCGACTCGTCGGGCGAGGCGTCATCGGAAGAGCAGTACGAGGTGCAGGCCTCATCCTCCGACTCCTCGTCGTCCTCGTACTCCTCAGACATTGAAGAGCAAGAAGAAGAGCCGGATGACGTCGAGTACATGTCAACATCGGAAGCTACGGTTGATGGCGGGTGGGAGGGCAGGGCGGGAGGTGCGCATTCTTCCAGTGCGATCACCTTTGGCGCCTGGGTCGGGTAAGAGTATAATGCGGGGTCGGCGAACGCGATGAAGGTGGTCATCGGGGACGGCATTGTTGTGGACGGAACGGGCAAGCTAGGCGGCGGGCTGGGTGTGGCATCTCGCAATTTCTGGGCTGGGACTTTATGTAGTTCGAATATCTTGTGTGTGAGATTGATCTGCGCGCGGCGCGCGTCCTTTGAGACTTAGAACTGTTCCGTCCGCGTCTCCGCCCACTCGGCGCGTGCACCCCGACACATCGCGATCTGCTTCCCACAGGGCCCCCGCTTGGGAATGTCACACACCGCGACCGCTCCCACAGCACAGTCCACGAGAAATCAAAAATTGCATCGGTTTCTGAATACGCTCGTCACACAGGTTTCTCCAGTCACGCTATCCCTAGACACGCCCTGAAAGCAGAAACCGATCCCACACCCGCGCGCCCCTTCCGGCCCTTCGCTCGCAGCAACGCCTCCGCGAATATCCCCACCGTCCTGCCGGTTCCCTTCCCCTTCATGGCCGCATCGGTCCAAGCCAAGCCTCCGCCGCCTCAAACTGGTCAATCAGCTCGACCATCACCGCGCCTTCCGCGTGCAGCTGCCGCATGGCGGTCAAAGCCTGGCGGGAAAGAGAAAAATAATCAGTACAGAACATCCGAGACAGGGCCATAACGGAAGGGACCATAAAGGACGGAAGTAAAGGAAAGATGCGGCAGAGCACAAAGAAAGGGAAAACAATAAGAAAAATAAACTCACGACGTCCCAGAACCTGAAGCCGCGCTCAACTTCCCTGCGGGGATCCTTGACACCCGGGAATGTCTCTTCGCAGATATCGAGCGCAATCTGTTTGGCGTCCGCCACACCCTCCGCACGCGCATCACGCACACGCTGGCCGCCGTTGATGTGTGTGAGCGCGTCCAAGTACACCTTGGCGAGCACTCCAAAACCGGTATTCACTTCAGACTGGAACGGTAGTGAGAGCCCAATATCCAAAAGGTCCTCGCGCTTTCTCTCCGCATCTTGTCGCAGGAGCAGGTTGAGCGTCGTTACCTCCGCCAGCGTCCGCAGCGCGCGAGAGAGTGAGCGTACGAACGAGTTGAAGACTAGCAGCTCGCGCGACAGAGGCGCAGACCAGGGCATCGGCTGTGAATGATGTGTGGCACCGTCAGGGTCCGCCCGGTACGGATGGAACAGCGGGTCAGCCGCGCACCTTAAAGTTGAGAGGGACGATGCTCAGGGTGCGCATGACCAGCAGCATGCATGATTTCTCGTCGTCTATGGAGCAGAGCGTGAGATTAGGCGCGGACTGGTGTAGAGCTTGGCGCGCATAAAACACGAACCTGTACCGAAGCTCGGGCCTCCACTGAATGCTCGCGAAGACCACAGATTGCCATGCATGACGCCCGCTCGAACGAGCTCCAAGAACAGATACAGCGGCTCCTGGAACTTGTCATTGAGCCTGGCCGACCGAATCGCAGTATGCATCGAGCGCGCCAATGGCGAATGTTCGTGCGTCTTGAGCAGGAACCTACGTCGGTACCGAAAGGCGTGTCAGCATGTTGAGAAGAACGAAGACACGCCGCAAAAGCATATAGACACGATGAGCGCGGAGAGGCCGCCTTCCGTCACTCTTTATCAACCGCAGGCACGCCACAGAACGCCGTTTATACAGCGGATAACGAGAGCGCGAGAACCAAGCAAACGCAAAATCCGAGCGTCAAAGCGTCTGGATACCGGAGGCGAGGGCGATATGCCCATGTAGGTGATGATGCACTCACCCTCGAAGCTCCAGGAATCGCCAGATGACATTAGCGACCAACTCGTCCTTTTTCTCAAGCAGGGGTTGCTTCGCGCCGCTCTTGATACGCGTGCGCGCTGCTTGCTTCTCAGTTGCTGTGGCCCCAAGACACAGTGCAAAGTCGATGGTCGAGGACTAGATTCAGATCCTGATTAGTCCAGCGCTCGCCACAAGCCTAAGCTGCGTGAACGTACGTTTTGCCTCCTCAGCTCCTCCTCGACTATAGAATACGGCACATGCCAGCTCGAGACGCGCTCGACGAGCTGCGCCGTCGCTGGCGAGCTGTGCGCGATGAGCTTCGCCTGGCCAGGGCTTGCGTGCGCATGCTCGAACCAGAAGAACGCGGTAATCTTCCTGTTTGCCCAGAAGGGCTGGAGCGCGGACGAGATGAGGGCGAGAGCCGTCGCGCGCGGGCCCGTGTGTCCCTCAGTGATGACCTCCTTCACGAAGCGACGGTACTCCGTAGTCTCGCCGTTGTCAAGGGGCGGGCTCTCGAGAACGCTACCGCTCGTTAACCACACAAGCGGCGCAGGCGCAAGGAGGCCGCGGGAGATGTAGAAGTAGACCTCGTCGGGAAGCCGGTGTGTGAAAATTTCGTGAAGGTCGGACGGGATGTCTGCAGCGGTCGGATGGTGAATTGACGCGGGGGCGCCGCCAGGAGGCGGAGCGGCCAGGGGCAAAGGCTGACATGTACCCTCGGCGGTGAGGATAAGCGAGAACTTGACCATTGCTCGCGTGCGGGCGTATAGGTCCTGGTAACCTAGCGACTTCGTATGTTGGTCATTGTATGTCGTAACCGTCATATGGCCGGACTTGTAGAACTTGACCATGTCCACAGTGGCTTTCAAACCCTGGTCGTGCATAGTCGGAGGGAATGGTTGGATGTGATCGAAGCCGACAAGGATACCGATGTCGAGGAACTGGTCTTCGCTAACGCCGAGGTCGCCCAGAATGGACTTTTTGGAGACGAAGGTGAAGGAAGGCGGGTTGGCGGTGAAGTTCACCGAGGTAATGAGCTTGTCTACACCAGGATAGAGAAGGGTGTCTGTCGGCCCATAGATGGAGTGGATGTATGACTTGGGGTGGCGCTGGAGGTAGATCAACTACAATACCTATTGTTAGTACTCGAATCACGTTCTCAGATACCGCTGAACGACATACTTGTGCCCAAGAGACGTACGGCGCGACAAGAAATTCGACATTACGGTTCCGGAAGATGCGCAAGATTGTGCGCCACAAATCCCAGTGCGTCAAGCCATGGCGGCCCTCGAACAGCTTATACGCAGGCTCCTCGTATCCAGCCTCGTACTTGCTCCAGGCCGAGGCGCGGTCGCCGCAAGCCTCACGCTGTTCCATATTGTGGTTTTGCTGCCTCCAGCTCTTCTTGGGCTGCAGACCGGGGAACACAAATACAGGTTTGATGCGCAGCTTCTCGAGCACGCGCAAGTCGGCTTCGATACGCGTAGAGAGCGTCAAGGGCAGGCCCCCAGTGGCTGCCAATAGTTGCTCCTTGGTGTCCGGTCCATCGTAGAGACTCTGAAGGTAGTGGGCCGCGTCGATACCCAGCCGTGAGTCCGAGAGCAAGTTGAGCGGAAGCGTTTGAAGATGCTTGCGCTCGGAAAGATAATCTGAGTAGAGAGTCAGATATATCGCTTTTTCCTATGGCGAATATTCGACAGACTGTCAAGATGCTTAATCGGCATCGTTATTGTTTGCGCGCGTCGTAGTCAGTGACGAGCACGCCGTCCAGCATGCTGTGCGCGTCGCGCTCGACGCGGTTCTCGCTCCCACGATGCGCGACAACCATCTACATCATATCTTTCCAACTTGTTTTGCCTCTTTCCGCTACCCACCATCTGTGTCACAGATCAATTCCACTCCAGCTGGTTCTTGACCATCGCGCACGGCGATACACGTACGAGAAGCTTTACATCAAGTACAACGCTGCCCGAGCTCGTGGTCACCATGTGCAGCCGGGAACTCCCACAGCGGCTGTTCAGCCACTGTACATTGAGCCCTCTAAGATGGATCTTCGTTCACTTGAGTTCGCCGCATGGTGAATCGTGTACTTTCACTACTACAACATGCCTTACGCCTGCTTCGAGCTTCACCCCACTCAGCGTCTGATACAGCCCGCCGTGAGATCCATCTTTCCAAAGTGCGGTCCTTGCACGCTTCTCTGCCTGCTGTCGAGGATCGTCTCACCACATGCCTTCCGCACGGCTTCGCCACGCTGCTATAGCTGTCTATTTTGTCGCATCTCATCCCAAAACTTTCTACCTTTGTCTGGCCCGGCATCCCGCCGTCTGCATCGCAAGCCTGAGGGTGACCTTCTTGCTCCGGTGTAGTCTGGGAGTGTTTTCATTTCTCTCCATACCACCCCCTTCCGCCCTGCTTTCCCGACCGAACTTCCCCACTATTCTGCTAAGATTGACAATGTGCACGTTGCCCGTCCAGCCTGCCATAGCCTACGGTCCAGCTTGAACTGGCCGCCCTTCTGAGAGCTTCGAGTTCCCAGGCGCTACTAAGCGAGGATGTTCGGGCGCCTGATGTAGATGCGCGCCGCTTGTCACGCTTCTCGCCACAAGTTCGCTGCCTGTTCACAACCCAAGGGATTCCCATGAACTATCGATGTGCGCTGCCCGGCGCGTTACCTTGCTCGATTTTCACGACATCGGACCAAAGGTGGCAAACGTAGGGCCACGTAAGGACGGGTTCATGCCCTCACGCCAGGAGAAGCTCTCTCCATCGTACTCAGCTCATTTCGCCGTTCCGTGTCTTCGTGCTGGATGTTCTTACTCCACAGTCCGCCAGCTTTCGGGATACGGGCCACTATGCTGAGAAGCTAGCGCCGGTGAGGTTTGTGCTTCTTTCGATTCCCGCGCCTGCGCACCGCTGTCATGGGCTTTAGCCATGCGCCTGCCCTACAAGGTTACAGCCACACAAGCTTGCCTTCTCTCATCCTCTCACGCAGATCAAACCTGCCGTGTCTGTACAGTGCGTGACCTAAATCAGGCGCCGTACTCCATCTGCGATTCCAGCTCATCCGTTATTCGCCCAGTGGCATGCACGCGCTGGACCCTGTGCTACCCTCGCGCCTGCCATCCTCATGAAACTCGATACCCGCGCCTACACTTAGGCAGCATATCGACATCCATCCGTCCATCCGTCACAAAACGTGCTTCTTCTCCCGCACGCCCCCCTCCTGACCGGAGCTCATGAGAACGAGCGCGAACGTATGAAGATTTTTGCGTGCTTGCTGCCTTCCTCAGCATCCTAGCCTACAATCAGCGAAGATCGGTCGTAGATGCAGCCTCTTCGCACCAACTCGTCCCGCCGGCACGTAGCTACGTAGCGCAGCGCGGTACATCGGCAGAGCACTGCGCGTGCGAGCCACAGGTGCAGCTACGCACTGGTCCACCTCGAGGAGTGAGAGCCTGCAGCCCGCATATGGTGTTGCTTGTGCTTGTGCCGAGCGCTGTGCACGTCGTCACGCGCCGATATACGCGCGAGTCGGCACGTCGCGCCGCATGTCGGTCCGCTGGCGCCTTTGACCGCGCACGGTGATAATCAACGCCGCGCTTGTGTGTGATGCAGCCGCGGCATCCGCTATGCCCGTGACTGTGGTCGTGTGTGGCAACACTGCGAGCTGTGACTCCATCTCGTAGACTTGGACTTTCGCGTATAACGGCCTCTCAGGACGCAGGAGACGCGCGAAATGCGGGGAAGGGTCGGTCACTACGCCGGAGAGACTATGCGGGGTATCACGTCGGCGAAACCAGCTGAGAGCGACGTTTACGGCCCGCGCAAGCTGTTCGACGTTTGCTGAGAGCATACGAACACTGAACGCGGACCATCGCGCCGATACAGACGTCGGTGAGAGCCTTGGCCCCACAACTGTACCCTTGCTAGTGTGCTGCCCAGCGAAAGAAATAGACCGACAAATACGCGCTCAAGCTCGGGAGGACGAACAAACCTCGCCGTGGTGAGAGCCAACACGTCCGCTCCATGCTTAGTCGCACCAAGTGCGAACAACGCGCATACTTTCAATCAAGCCCTGTTCAGTCCTGATCAAGCATTGCTTCGCGAAGCGCGAGCATCGCGAGCTTCCCTTGACGTCGTTGCGAGCCATACGCTGGCCACCGGGCTCTTTGGCAATCGCAATGCCGGTTTAGACTCGCCGTAGGTCGGATGTGTTCGGGTGTTCCGTACCATACTATAGGTCCGACTTGCCCACGCCTCGCGCCTTTTAACAGTGATTGGCGGTATGTCCGGACATCGTGGGCTTGACGTCGTTTATACTATACCAAGGCCATTCAGTGTTTGTTTGCAAAATGAAGATTGGTCGCAAGTCAAGGTGCGGGGAGCCTTGCATCGGAGCAAGCATGGGAATAGGTGATCATGGTGCAGTGCAAGCGCGCTTCATCGATGAGGGTGCTGCTTCGAATAGCTAGGCGCTGCCACGAAGAGCGGTACCGGTAAATGCATTCCGCCTCGTCCAATGTGACGATGATTTCACCCCGCATGTCGTACCACATCAAGAGGTCTACCGACTTGTATACTTGACGGCACCGCGACAGATGCATGCATCAGATCTTTAGACCCTCTGGCGTGAGTAGAACCAGGGTCAGCGGGGTTATAAACGTATCGAGCCTTGCGCTCAACACGCATGCCGCCAGAGAAGTTGTTCCACTTTTTGTTAGGGACAAGGGCGCGCACGAGCCGCAGTGCGAACACGGTCGCCATCTGCAGCGAGAGACCTCGTTCCCGGGACCTTCTGATGGAGAGCGCCCACGACGATCGACAAACACGCAGGGCGATCCTCCTGCCTTCAGGGTCTCCGGCCTCCGCGGTAATACCTTGTGGTCCGTCGGTAGAGGGCGGGCGACGGTGTGCGCAGTGGTCAAAGGCAATATCGGCAGTCGGTTGAGTGACCTTGGCTCTGCTCCCGACTCTGCGCAGGTCCTCCAAAACTCCTTCCCGATAGAATCGACTCGTAGTCGAGATCGGATGTTGACCGGCTCTCTGCGCTAGTCATACGTGTGGCGCACTCAAATCTTTCAGCTATGAAGCTTGAGGCCAAACCTTCATTCAGATAAAATGTTCTATATCCGAGTGGCGCCTATGTAAATGATTGAGAACAAAGGTCGCGCGAAAGGAGTCACGACGGACGTTACGAGGCGAAGACCAGCTACGCAGCTCTGCGGCGCAGGGCACTCGAGTGCACCAGCTGGTCCTGGACCCATTTCTAGCGCACATTTGCACATACGGCGGACCGCGCGTCCATGTGTGCACGGCTTAAACCCGACATCTCGACGCAAACATCGTCTCCACCGGGGGGACCGCCATACACCCTCTCATCCGATATTCACACAGTAATAACATCGCAAGGACACACGTATAGCTTTGTTGTAGCGCGCACACGGGTTGCCTCCCTCCGTCTCCGGGTTACCGAGTCTAACGGTTGAAGATCCATCACACGCCTAAAATGAATGAGCGTTCGAACGTCCGCCGAATACCTTCAAACCCGGAAAGACCAGGCCCGTGACTGGCATGGTACGCAGACTTCTGCCGCCGGTAAGCGTGTCCACATTTGGCAGGGGTACTATACATGATGGGAAGTAGAGCGCCTACGCAGCAGTAGCAAGCGCAGGCACAGTAAACTTAGATGCGAACTCGTCGAACTGCGTAGCACGGGTGTTCACGTCCTCGACCAAAGGGTGCAATGGGTATGTAGAGGCAAGGCGACTGTGAGAGATGTCAGTCAGCTGTGTAGATCGAGACTGCGATATCAATACGAACCTCCAGATCTCCTCAGCATCTGTTTTCTTCGGTGCCAGACCAGCCGCGACTGCAGACGCAGCAAGGGTCTCTGCATCCTCATGTCCGTTCTGTTGCGCCACAGCTTCCTCAAGATCTGACCGTGCCTCTACAACCTCTCCTCGGAGCAGACGCGCAATCCCGCGCGATGTGAGCAGGTGTGGCGAAGTAAGTGATGGGTTCGCGAGCTGCTCCGTGAAGAACGAGTGCGAGTCGGAGTAGCCGTCCTTGCCAGTCACCAGACCGATCGCCGCTTCGATGAATTGCAATAGAGTATCGTCCTCTGCCCAGTTCTTCGCGCGATCAAACTCCTTGCGTGCGAGGTCCGGACGATGGATGGATAGATAGACCTGAGCGAGCACAGCAACCCTGGAGACGTCGTAGTAGTTGTTATGAGTACCGGTTCCAAGAGATGTATAGCACAGTAACTCACGCTTCGAGATCCTGAGTGTTCGTCCCTGCACCCAATGTCTCCATCGCTTCTTCCGCCTCGCCTGCGCGGGCAAACGCCGTGCCTGCCAGTACCCGCACCCAACCTGCCTCCTGAGCAGAAGCCTCTGTATCATCGCCCTCGACTTCGACGCAGAGATCGCGCAACTCCTCCAGGGCAGCGTCATTATCATCGCCAGCAATATATTTGGCGAGCGCAGAGACGGCTTTCAAGGCGATATTCTCGGCGTATGCAGATGGGATCAATGACAAAGCTCCCTTAGCGTCATCGAGCGCGAGGTGTGCTCGAGCCTTGTAGACCAAAATAGGAATAAAGTCGTCGGAGGATTCGCTGGGAAGGGCTGAGTTTACGAGCGACTTGTACGCGCCTGCTCTGGAACATGAGTCGCGGCTCAAGATTTACTAATCGGGACTGCGCACCGAGATAGAACTGTTGCTTCGCGGTATACAAATCTGAGGATTCCATAACTCAAGAGTGACAGGTACACGGCGGTGAGAGCAGAGTGGAACCCGGTTGGCGGGGAAAGCGAAGTAACCGCCAAGGCAGTGACAGCCAACGTGGAGGCGTGACCGCACGCGTTCAGGGAGTTTCGCCCGCCGACGCGTCTCACACATAATACACGCGCCTCGACTTGTCTCGAACCACGACCTTTGGGACCTTTTCACTGTCCTGTAAAGCAGTCACAGGCTCACAGGGGGGTTGAGGGCGCAGGCTCGGCGGCCATCCACGCGCTCATCTGCTCTCTGCTGCGAAGTCCGAAAGCGAAACTCGGACATACAACGGCTCGGACGGGCTGTGCATTTGCGGGATCAACAGTCACAGATTGCAGATTATATCGCTGAAGGGATCTGCGCGGCGCTTCTTTCATTCAAGAAGTACTACACTCTATTGCAACACGTTCACCGCCGGCAATGCAGCTGCAAGCTGTACTCGACGCTGCATCGCTTAAACGTAGGCTCGTGCGTTCTCGAAGCGCCTAAGATCTACACTCATGATCGCCGGCTTAGCCTTGACACGCGCTCTCACCTGCCTATCAAGATACGGAGATGAAGTGACTGTGTATGGGACACCTGAGGGACTGTCACTCTCGGCCACGAACTCTTCCAAGTCAGCTTACTGCCGTTTTCGCTACGAGAAGGCCTTCTTTTCGAGGTATAATATCGGCGACGGTCCTTCTTCGGGCAGACGTGGACCATATGCCGACGATTCCGAGGACGTGGTGAAGGGTACCATACCCGCGAAGGTGAGACCGCATTAACGACCGCGTGGGTATGGCTTGCACACCTGAACCGCGCGTTATTACAGACGCTGCTTTCGGTGCTCAAGAACAGGGCATCTGATAAATCTGTTGAGAAGTGCGAGCTTTCAATTGTAGAAGGCAACCCGCACGCGGACGAGGACGGAGATAGCCTTGAAAGCAGGCTGATAGTCAGGCTTCTCTGCAACTATGGTATTAGATCGCCGGTGGGCGGCGTTTTGTCCGTTCTCCGGCGCAGCACTGACTTTGATCCCCGGAGGCGTCGTGAAGACACATCGGCTCACGCTCAACGATATTGAGTCTCTGCTCGCCCCTGGGATCTCTGAAGAGCCCAACGAGTCGCGTCTCACCATCGGGCCCAAAGCTTTGAAGGATCTGATAGACCAGTTCCCGTCAAGCAAGAATGCCAAGTCTGACCCGCAGCTATCCTGGACCTTCGGAGACACACGGGTGCAAGTGAAGAGTCATGAAACATCCATGGAGACTCGGGGTGCGTACAGAGTACACGCTGCGGTTCCGCGACTGAGTGTACTCATGCTCGTCGCTCTTTACAGGTGCACCTTTGTCCACTGAATTATCTATCGATTCGGAAGAGTTCGACAACTACGATATCTTCGTTGCCCCCGTGTCTATCGCGTTTCACCTACGCGAGTTCAGCGTGCGTACCTATACCACGCTGCGGGTCCGTGTACGCCCGAACTCACGGACACGTACTTAGGCGACGATCGCATACGCAGAATCCATGTCCATTGCGTTGGATCTGCACTTCACCGAGCCCGCTGCGCCACTCTTCATTGACGCCGAATGCGACACATTCCCCGTTGAGAGCCTGTTTGTGATATCGACCAGTCATTTCCCTGGGGGCGCCTCTCCGGCGTCGCAGTCACAGTCATCTGCATCCAGTTCTCGCAAGCGCCCACGAGAGGCAGAGTCTACCGCCGGGCGCGCGCCTGAACGGCGCCGGCCACAGAAAGTTGTCGAGCGCACGGACCCCGCTTCGCTCGCGCGTCAAATGCGTGATAAGCAGTCGATGCCCCCACCGTCAATCCCATTCATTCGCGCGAACGGCGACTCCCAGCCTCCGCCGCAGCGGGAACCGCTCTTCCTACCTTCCTCTCAATTATCTCAGGCCGATGAACAGGCGCTCCGTGATTCAGGTCTGGGAGATATGAACGCCGACGAGTTCAACGCTATGTTCGACGATGACGGCATGGAGGTTGGCGGTGGATATGCAGACGAAGACTTCATGATGCCTGTGCCGAGCTTTGGCGTGCAAGCGAATGGTCGGGCGAATGGGGATAGCTTCGAGTTGGTAGATGAACTTGGTCCCACTCAAGACGACGTCTCTCAGAACTCTGCCAATCGGGTGAGTATCTTGCCCCGTTTTGTCTTTTCAAATTGATGTGAACTACGTTGCAGACTTTCCAACCGCTATTCGACGACTAACGTCCAGTCCTTTCTCTTCTACCCATGAGCGATATGCTTCATCTTGCTGGACTCTGTCCGCTCCATCTTGTCCGACGCTGCCTGCATCTTCTTGTTCACTGTTTTGATCTGCTGTCGCTATGCATACATGTCATATTACTGAAATGTTCATTCGCCATTTGTCTTCAACCGTTTGACGTGGGACCAACATAGTGGCATCCTCGGTAATCATTCCCAGCTCAGGCAAATCCTGATGCGAAGTTGTCGGCTACATATGACTGTAGCGACATGTACAGCCCGAGCCCGTCACACGAGCGCTCTCAACGAGAAAGGCCGTACCATAACGGGACGTGACCTTGATTTCTTAAAACGTAAGGTGTGAACCTGCTTGCTCGGGTTCGCGGAATCTGGTGTGAATATGAAGAGCATGGAAGGATAAAGCAACCGATTCATCCAGATGGTAGCAATTGTGTGCGATGATACATGATGCGACAGTTTCGAGAAGCAGGGCAGGCAGGAGCGACAGCGAGAAAGCATGTTACAAAGCGGTGCGGGGAGATGATGAACGGAGTCCAAGACGATTACTAATGATACGGCGACCAGCCTGCAGGCAATGATGAGCTTACGGATTTCCGACATGCATCAACGAAAGGAGGACACTGACCTGTATACATCATGCACAAGTTCGCAGGATCAGATGCCTCGTGTATGAGTTCGTTCACGGTATGCTCGACGCTGAGTGCGGTGTCGAGTTTACGCGTTACGGCACTCAAGGCGCGATCCGCAGCCTCTTCTGCGTTGGCGCTGTTCATGTCGATTGTCACGCCGCCTAGGATGTTGACAGCATGATTCGTCAACGCAGAAGCCGCGGGCTGCTGATCTTGAACTCGTGTAAGGCGATTGTCATTTGCCACCCTGTGTACTTCTGTGTCAGCGTGATAACCAAGACATCGGGCAGAAGACATCGCACCATGAGTGTAGGGGGTCGTACTTGAAAACCTCCAGGATGGTCAAGACGACCTCGCGATCTGCACGAAGCACGCGCAAAGTCTCTTCGGCGCAGCGCTGAAACACGCCTTGCGTGCCCGATGTCCCAAGACCATCGACCATATCTTCAGTCAGCCGGAACGGGACGAGTTCTGGCACCGGCAACATCTTGCCCTGTAAAGCATCGTCAACTACTGATCATCTTTGAAGGATAAGATAAGCGTACCTGGTCGAAGGCAATACCCAGATCGATGTTCACGGCTTCACCCGTAGATGTATCAAGAAGAATGTTACTGGTGTGACGGTCCCCGAGCCCGAGCATGTGACCAATGATGCTCATCGTAGCAAGACTCCGCGCGTAGTTGAGCCGCATTGCAAACCACGACATGGGGACCTGCAAGCCATTCGCTCATCTTCTTTCGAAACGTACGAAGGTCGTACCTTGTGGGCTTGGATGAACCAGTGCCGCAGAACAGGACGGAGCCGAGGCTTGATGTTCTTCCAAAGCTCGAGCATCTTGCGCTGAAGATCTACCAACGGGCCCCTGCCATACTTATCCCGCTTCTTCTTCATTTCAGCAGAAAAGTCCCCTTCAGCCATATCTCCAGGACGGAATCTACCATCAGTGTCAGCATTTTCCAGCATACGAGGTCAGAGAACGAACTGTTTATGCAAACGGCGGAGAACGCTGCTCAGCGGTGTGGTGTTTTGCACGAACTCCAATATCCCAGCTTGCTCTGCGAGAGGAAGAACGCAGTATGTCCGTATGTTTAAGCCACGGCGCTTCGTTTCGCGATCCTGGCGAAGCGCGATGTTCACAAGATCGAACACTTGTTCCATGACCGCGTCCTGGCGCATGTCGTCGTCGCCCTCGCCTTTAAACTATGGTTTCGCATCAGCCATCGAGTGATGACTCGGGGGAAGTTCCGTGCATGCATACCAATTGCACGTAACGCTTTCCGTCGCTTCCGTGACAGGCGTGAATCTTGGGGATATTATTCCCGCCGGCGACAGTGAACGTCCTTTCGTAAGACTCAAGCCACACGCAGTTATCATAGCGTCCTGAAGGATCGAGAGGTGTCCGTGCGGTAGAAATCGGTACTTTGATCTTTTGTGGAATATCCGGGAGGGTGATGTCGACCGGTACTTTCAACTTGGACGACGACTGCGATTTGACCCATTCCTTGATAGAAAACTTGGCCCAGGTGAGAGATGCCTCGCATAAAGTCTTCACATCCGATACGCGCTGCGCAGCTCGACCCTCATGCAAGCGTGCGAAGATATCGCCTGCAGCTGCAGCGCGTACGCCTTGCGAAGGAGTCTGGCTTTGACTTGCCAAACGCCCCGAAGCACGTCGTCCCTCGCTCAGAGCCTCGCTATTAGGTGGACGCAGAGGAAAGAGTTGATACACAGTATGAAACGGATGATCTTCGCACATACGCAGAACAAGGCGCTGAAGCACGCCTTGACTGGGCGAAGGAGGAGCGGGTGATGGCGAGTCCATGGTGCGACTCTTCCGGCGAGAAGTGGAGATCGAGCCAGGCTCAGGCGAGTCGACCTTGGCGAGACGTGCAGTAAGTTGATGAGAGAGGAAAACGAATTTATGGCTAGGCACGTCGTCAAGTGCACGACCGAGCTTCTCCGCCAGTTCTCCGCTGTCGAAGTTAGCGTACCAGAGACTGACGAGGCGGACGTGTGCATCGTCGTCAAAGAGGGCGCTGTGAGATAGGCTTCGAGCGTATAATGTGGCTGCTTGGTAGAGGAAAGCGCGCTGAGCCTCCATGTGTTGAGCGAAGGCCGCTGTATCGGCTTGAAGCAACTTCTTGGCCCTAGAGAGATCGCGCGCATCCGCCTGTGATAATCCAGAGCGGCGCTGTTGAGACTCGAGATCGCGGACCTCCTGTTCTTTGCGATCGACGTAGATCCTTCGCCGTACGATATCGGGGGAGCGCAACAGTGCATGATAATGCCTGTCCGCGAATACAGCGCATTCGTGGAAGATGCGTGCAGCAGACGCTGCTGATGCTGCGTTGTCGGTCGTTGTGGCCTGAGTCTGGAGATGATCAATGGCAGGTTGGAAGTAACTCTCCCAGATGACAGCAGGTTTCTCCATGCAAGCTTCGGATGACCACGAACCCTAGCCATGGCTCAGTATTGCCTTCAGCGGAGCAGGAGATAGGGACATACTAGACGCGAACGAAGCACATACTGTTCTAAGAGGACAGTGTCGCCGTCCGTCTCTGTCGGCAGTTCCTTGACGATCTTCCTCAGGAACTCAATGGCGAGCTTATGCTCTCCTTTAGCCCAAAGCACATTGGCAAACTCTTGTGCAATCGTAGGACTCTTCTCGGATGCATCGAGGCGTTGCGCGCGTACGACAGAGTTAAGGGCAACCTGCAACGCGCCAGCGTCGCGCGCCGCGGATGACACACGCACAAGACACTGTTTCTCAAATGCAGCGAGAGTTGCAGTGAATGGAGTGGGGCGGTCGCCGATCTGTGCGCGCTGAGCCCGTTGCCTGACTGCTGACAGCAGCGACATTCGCGTCGCAAAGAGATGTTCCGTCGTTTCAAAGCTAAGTATCAATGAATCAGTCTGACGAAAGAGTGTGTTGATTCGTAAACCACTAACTCGAATCCGGGACCGATATCGAGGAAACTTTCCCATCGTGGGGGCTCAACCTCGAGACGTGCTACATCTTCCTGAAGTGCAGGCGTGCACCAAGCGCGCAGCTGATATGCGCATAAGAGACCCCTCACAGCTTGGCGTATGCCGACAAGATCCTCGTCTCCGAGCCTCCGCAGACGATCCACTGCATCTCGTAAGGCATCTTCAGCAGAAGGAGGCTGAGTCGTGCGGTGCACAACTCGGAGTGCGCGGTAAAGTCCCACGTCAGGATCGTCGTCCGCCGCAACATCAGGCAGGTCCCATGCTTCTGTACGCCACCCAAGCGCATAGTTTACGCCCTCCCCTTCGCCATTATCGATACTCGACGCAAGGCGGTCAAAGCCAAACGCATGAAGACTGTCGCGGACGCCTGTCATGGCTCCACCACCAGCCTCGAACGCTGCACCGTGAAACATGAAAGCTCGATCCCACTGCCGTTCATGCTGAAACCGACGCAACAAGAATCGCTGGAGGTCGTGCGTTTGGATGCCGTAGAATCCGTCAGGCTCGTCGACGTGACTATATATCTCAAAGAGAATGTCCTCTACATCGGCGTCGTCCGACTTTGGTCGCTCGTCGTCACTGTCGCGAGCGAACTCAAGTTCGTAGAAGAGCAACGCTGTGGTGTACGCTCCACAACGGAGCGCAGCCCGAGAGAGCAACATGTGATCAATATCGAGCCAACGCTCATTAGCCAGCATATCCTTGCCGTGGTTGTGAGGATAAAAATTCCGCATGTGCAAGGCGATATCCACGATTGCCTTGAGCGTCGGAGTATCGGAGTCCGGTGCGGCGAGAATGTTCGCGAAGAAGGCGCTGAGATGCCGACGTGCATCGCCTTTGCCGTGGTCGTGTTGAAGTAGTGTATGCACAAGCACCGGTAGTGTCTGCGTTGCTAACACTGCGTCCTCCCGCAGCATGGGCGGCAACTGAGCAAAAAATCCATGTCGGCCACCCGGCCCCCCTGCGATTGCGTCGCACAGCGCAGAGGTGACAGCACAGACCCATGACGGGAAGGTACGGGCAAGGGGACGGAACTCTGGAAGACGTTCCAGAGAATATGGTGCAGCTTCTCGGGCGGTCCGCGGGGCCGCAGCGAAATAACCCCATTCAGACGCAAACTCACGATGCCAGCCCTTGAGATCTGGTATCTGAGTAGCCGGTGCAGTACGCAGAACAGCGTAAGCGGCTTGCGTTTGTCGCGGGTCTGCACCATCTAGTGCGCAAAGTAGGTACTCAAGGATGATGCGTTCGGGCTCTTCTAGCTCGTTCGCGTCAGGCATACCGCCTGGACCCGACTTCTTCACGCGGCTGGGTAGGTGGCGCTCAACTTGCGGACTCAGCGGATGAGTACCGAAACCATGAATCACGCCAGCGTGCGCGAAGACCAATGTAGCGAAGGCGTCCATATCTGCGACTCCGAGCCGATTGCGAGGCGGAATGCACTCTTTAAGACGCCAAAAGTCGAGTCTCGCGAAGTGTCCGTTGTCGGGCTGCATTGGGACCGCTGCGAGCCTCCGTACGATCCGAAACTTGTTGACGGTGATGCGCGGGTCAGCGAGCATGGCCGTAAGGTTGAGCGTTGAAGCGTCCTCGTCAGCGTTCTGCGCGTGTTGCAGCTCGACTTCGAATTGAGGTGGAACCTCGCGAGGCCAAGCGACAATCGCGCGGAGTGCGTGTTGGCGTGTGCCGGGATACTCGAGCAGCTTCCCCAATTCGTCGTGAAGCCATCCGGTAAGGTCCGCACTGAGTTCGTCATCCCCAGCATCTGAATAATCCGCCGCGGTGCTACAGATGCGGATGAGGACATCACATAGGCGCGCATCAGCCAGCGGTGGTGAACGAATATCACACTGTGGGGAATATAGGTAGAACGCGAAGCCCAGAAGACCCTGTGCGGCTCGCACGAGGTCGGCATGTGCTAGTAGGAGGGAGGCCGCATGCGATAACGCGTGGAGGAGCATAGGTTCACGGAAGTGGCGCCAGTGGCCCGCGACCCAAAATGCCAATGCGCAAGTCACACGAAGTTGCTCATTGACTAAGGGCTGCGTGTAGATGTCGGCGATGAGTTGCTGCATGATGTGGTATGACACTGCAGGCGTGATAGTGTGTGCAGGTAGCCTCAAGGCGATATTATCCTGAGCGTCAAATATGACTTCCGCCGCCTCAGCAGGTAGGTTTTCGTGGTACAGGTGTTCTTTGCTGACTGCACGGAAATGGAGGATGTGCAAGAGGCAACGTGCCATGCTTCGTCCAGGGAGCCGGGCTTCCGCAGTCGCAACGATAGCCTGGTGCTCTTCACCCCTGAGCTGACGAAGGATTGCGACCAGTACCGCGTCCGCGTTTGCGATTAGATCTTTAGGGTCGTATGTGAAGCCACCCCAATCGTCAAAGATAGTGCGCAGGCGGTCCTCAAAGTCCTGGCGGTCGTTCATAATACAGAAGATGGTATCGCTCGCCACGATGTCTGCAAAGGCAGCGCGTACACCCTCTGCAACTGACAAGCCAGATGCGGAACAGTGTCGGGCAAAGCGGGCGCGGCCCGACGCTCGCTGCTCGGCTGAATCAGCAAGGAAGATATAGCTACAAGGCTGCGTCAGCCACATGACATAGCGTCGCTCAAAGGAATCTACGCACGCAGGTGCAAACGGGCGGAATGAAGCTGTGGCGAACGCGCGCTGATCCTTGTATCCGAGAACAGTAGGGTCAACGAGGAGGAAGTCTTGCTCAGCCTGCTTATCCGGATAAGTGACGGCGATCGTCCAGGCAATCTGGCCTGCATAAGTCTCGAATAATCGATGATGGGGGAGACCCATTCGCATCGCGATGGCCTTGAACACAGCCGACACATGTGCGTTGAATTCGGCCGTGAATATGCATGTCTCGAGCATATGCCAGTAAGGCCCGCGTGCGACAGCCCCACTGACGACGGTGGCATTGCCAAGTGCAAGTATACGCGTGAGCATATGTTGGTAGCTGTAGATATGTGTCAGGGTATGCTCTGATCGTCTGAAGCAGGCTCGGGCGTACTTGGTAAGATGAAATGTAAGGTTGTCCTTCACGTCCTCGTACACTGTCATTTCATCAAGCCCATACCGAGTCTCGAGCCTGAGTAACTCTGCGCTCGGTCCCGAGACTCGCACCCGCACACGAATATCGCAATCGGCATTGAGTCGCATGATAAGCCTGAACGGCGGCATCGGTGCTTGCTCCTCCGCCATCTCCTCATCTTCGCCATCTTCAGGTTGATACCACGCATCTTCCATGGGATCTTCGATGATATAACGCGCAAAAAAGGCGCCAAGAGCGTCGCGCACACGCCAATCATGCCAGCCGTCCTCGTACAGCCGCCTGCCGAGGTGGTAAAGGAGCTCTTGAACCTTGAGAAGTACTTTCTCATCGAAATCCGGTGCGAGCCATAAGTGCATTGTACCGTCAAATAACGCGATAGCCGAACATAGTGCCGGCGCGTGCTCGCTGTATGCGTGTTGCATGAGAATTCCCCCAAACTTCTCGATGAGCTGATCTAAAGCATCAGGTGCTAGAGCGAGTGTACGGGCACGGACATGCGCGATGTAGGACGGAAAGGCGTGCAGGAATTCGGCGTCTCCAGTTCGAAGGAGGGCGTCCGTTAATGCGCGTTCGCGGGATGCTGCTCCTGATGTGCTCTGCAGAACAGGCCCGCGTGCGAGGAATGCCGTGAGTATTCTAAAGAGAGCATTGCTGAGGGCGTTTCTGGAATGCAATTGCGTCTCAGAGGGTGCAGCTGCCAGTGGTGCCGCGCGTATAGCCCCAAATCCGTCGTCGTCCACGAAGCCACCGTTGACACTAATCCCCGTATGACCCACAAGTTGGACTAGTGTATGATCCAGCAGTTTCTGCATTGCCTTCATGAGTTCGGACAACGTATCCTGTAGCTATATTTGCCGTGAGCAAGAGCGCGCGGAGAGATATATACGGAGACCTTACTTCCGCACTCTGCCAGATCATACGCTGCAACGCTTTGGAACCCTCTCCTCTTCCCTTCTTTCTCTCACCCAGCACACCTAGTCGCCTCAGTGTCTCCCTTGCAACCCCCGTCGCCGGGCTTGGTCCGCGCATAACCTCCCATCCTCCAAATACGCCCGCATAATCCCCGTAGTCACCATTCAATTTGCCCCATCCATTTACAAGCGGTTCGAGTGCAGAAAGGACCTCAATAAGCTCCTCATCAGACCACTTCCTATCGCTCAAGGGCTTCGCGTGGCTTTGTACGAGTTTGGCGGCTGCTCGAAGCACTCGTTCGTTCGACTGAATGTTGCATATGAGCAACAGTTCCACCAAGTATGACACTGGAAACACTAACATTGATGCCGTTTACAGCGAGGGCTGCTTCAAAACACAGCGCAAGGACGGCTGATTGCAGCGCAAGACGCGCCTTGTGTGCCGGCAGCTGCGCATTGACGTCGTGCGCAGCCTGTAGACTCTCCAGCAGCTTCAACATGCTCGCGGACACCTTTCTCTCTTTCGCTCCGGGCGATCCTCTCCCGCCCTCTCCTGCCTCTGTCGCCTTTCCCTTTCCCTTCCTATCGGCCGCTTTCACCGGTCCTGGCACCTTCTCCTGTCCATCGACTATACTGCTCGGTCCGGCGCTCTCGTTGCCCATAGGAACAAAGGGTGGAATCTGAGCTTCAAGCAGATACTCGCGAATCTGGCGCTCCCTCGCCGCGCGCCGCACTAGCTCCACGATCTCGCACTCTGGTAGTGCCTCCTCCTCACCGCGTTCTCCATCCTCCTCCCACCATTCCTCTTCCCTTCCGTCCGTCCCTATCTCTTTGAAACCGCATGCATGCACGAACACTTTCAGCACGTCGGGTACGGCCCATTCACTTGTCCTCAGCATATCCATGTCTGTAACCCAACCGAGCACTGCTTCGCCGACACCCGCTCGAAAGAGGCTCACGTCACCCCTCGCAGCTTTCACGCTTGCAGAGAGGAAACTGCAGACAGAGTCGCTCGCCGTAGGTGGAGCCTGCACTGGCAAATCCCGTGCGAAGGACAGAAGACTGGGACGCAGCGTATGAGGCGGTATGAAGCCATGCGTCAAGAGAGCGTGCGCTGTGTGCGCGGCTGGCCGGGACAACAGAGGGTGTGATAAGCGACGGAGCGCATGCGCCCATACAGTCGGCCAGAACTCGTTCATCTCATGCTCGTCGTCTCTGTCTCGAGTGACAGCGCACGGGGTCTCCTGATCCACAATGGCGGCCAAGCTGAGAAAAGCCCATGCTGCTTTTTCTCCTCCTGCCCCGGCGCCGAGGTTGTCAGCCGCAGAACTTGACACGCTCTGGAGCAACGTCTTCTGCACCTTTGTGCGCGTAGCCGATTGAAGGGCGGACCAATAGTGCGCGATGAAGATGAGGAGCGTGGACGGTCGACCAGATAGTAAGGCGCTGAGGGGATCGTTACGCCGCGTCGCCAAATTTCCGCGCGGTGTGCGAGGAGTAGGCGTCTGCAGTATGACCTCGCCTGCGAGAAGCTGAGACCTTATGTCAGCATGGGGTTCCATATCAAGAGATACGTCAAAGAATTCACTTTGGAAGCACAGTCTGCTTGCATCTCCAATGCAACCCAAGCGCTCGCGTGAGTGACACTGAAGCCCCTTCCATGCCTGAACGTCCTTGTGGCGAACGGCCCCTCCTCCCCGCCCAACCTCAGGCCGAGAACGTCGATACTCAGAGTATCCGCATTTCTATCCGTCTCGAGTATACCCCACAGATCGGCCAAACCACTCTCGCTCTCCCGGCTCGCTGCATAGAACGGGCGTAGCTCGCGCAAAACGGGGAGGAGGGATCTCTTCAACGCGCGATTGCGCCCCGACCAAAGAGCGAGGAGATGCGGCCAGGCCTTCTTCGCGAAAGCGCAGGTTTGCCGAGAGCGGTTCAACGCAACGCGGGAGAGCGTTCCCAGCAGGGCGGACAAGTGATCCGCGTGTAAGGAGCCATCCGGTGCGTGGGATGACAGAAAGTGGGCGTGTTTGGCGAGGAGGGCATCTGCGCGAACATCCTCGCCTTCAGGTGTGGGGGTACACAAAGGTGCAGATGGGAGATTGTGCAGTGTAGCGAGCAAAGAGCAGAACTCAATTTGTTCCAGCGAGGCTGCAGTGCGCGCGCGCTTTGACGACGACGCGCGCTCGTCAGCCGTCCGACGTCGCTTTATGCCGCTACCGGGTAGCTCGTCCTCGGCGGCCGAAGTCTCCAAGTCGACGTCCATGACGCTCACGTCCGCATCCTCGTCTATTTCGTCTATTGACTGTCTCAAAGAGTCGCCTAGGACAGTATTCCACGATAGTTGAGCCAGCCTTTCCCACATCTCGTCCTTCAGGTGGTCCGCGTGTGGTGCGTGTGCCAACATTGCACGGATAGCTTTGGCGTAGTCGAGCGCAACGGGCGCATAAAGCATGTTACCCTGCGCGGACGTATTCGCCAGGTGCATGAGCACCAGATTGGCGGTCTTCTTGTTGAATCGATGTGTTGCGCGCTCGATGAGCCACCTTGTCGTACGGGCCGCCTCTGCCGCTCGTCGCTCAGCAGTAGCACTGGAGCTAGCGGCACTCTTCGTCGTCTTCTTCAGCGCCAGAGACTTCTCCGTAGAGACGCAGGAGAACAGGGCCTGCAAAATATGCAACCATTCTTTGTTTTTGCCGTCTGGGTCCAGGCGGGCGATCGCAGCGTCACTCTCGAGTGCGGCCCGAAGTGCCGCAAGGCCTTCGGTACGCGCTTTGACCTTATCGCTATTGAGCTTCTCGAGTGCGTCGGTCAGCGCACGGGAGTAAACCATCGCATGGGAGAGATGGGTGAACAGGTGTGAGAGCTGTGGCGAACGCGTTTCAACGGCGCGTGGACGCGTTATTGGGCCATGTTTGGCTTTTGATGTTGACCGAGGTTGGCCTCAATCGACTTCGCCGCTTCGCGTGTCTATCACTTGCATATGCAAAACCATCGATCTTCAAACGGCGACCAAGATCTACAACCCTATCAAGTACTAGCAGCGCTAAGTATACATACGTCTATATAATGGACATGATATTGCACCACTAATCCACGAGTAATCTACCCGGCCGGATGCTTATTATACCAGGTCATCGCGCATTGGTCCAACACTAAGAGCATCGCTACAATGATGAGTAGCATGATATGACGCGAATGTCGATTGGGGCTTACTTTGGGCCGATAGGTGGATTTGGGGAAGTGTTTGAGGGGGAATCGTGGTACGTTTGTGTCTCGTGTGTCGTAGGGTCCAGACGCTCCCGGACTGGCATAGATGGCGAATTCACACTGTGTTTCTCAGACGAAACAGAAGTCTGAAAGAGCTGAGTAGGCGATTGTGGCGACGATATCACAGGCATGGACTCGAAACTACAGTCAAGGCCTCGCTCGCGGCACCGTTGACAACGCAGGGGACTGCCATCCGATGACGCCGAATAAATACACTGACGTTCGCGAAGCCTGATTAGTTTCTTCGATCATGCATGCTAAAAGGATCATACGCACGCGTACGCGCCTTATCCTACACGGTACACAGGAGGCTATCGCCCGCCTACGTGAACGTTCGGTCTGCAGAGGCGAACGTACTCTTGGGGTCGGCAGCAATCTGCTAGATTCAGCGGGCCCAGCTGTAGCCTCGATTTTCCGCTCTGATTCTGCAGAGTCTTGTCTAAGTGAGATAAGACTTTTGCTGTCGTAGGTCACGTGTGGCCATTCCAGCGGTACGGGGAGAGAATCTGGATTGCTCCTCCATTGCAGTTGGAATGTCGACGGCGTTCCACCAGCATCACTATGATAGAACCCTATACGATGTCACACGATCATCAAAGGAACCGCTGGAGAAAATCTATCAACCACGTACCTATGCCGCCTTGGATCACGATACCGTTATAAGGCGGCAGTGATGATCTCAAGATAGGAAGGATGTCCAGATCCTCGTCGTGAGCGATAGCAATGTTTGCGTCGGATTTCTGCGAATACATATTCATATGTAAGTCATATTCGATAACGAAAACACTCTGAACAAACTTTTAAGATGAGGTCGAGTACCGGATCGAGGCAATCGGTGAGCTATGAACTCCTTTAGCATCCAGCGCAGTCGACGCAAGCGGTTCGGACCCACTTCTGAACGCTCTGAATCGCTGACGATGACAGCGTCGCCCGTGGTCGCCTTCGAGTCCTCGTCATCTGAGTCCCCGTCCGTGTGCTCCGGGTCATAGGATCCACCTCTCGCTTCCATCTTTAGGCCGCGCCAAGGACGGCGGCGCTTCGCCCGGATGTGCCGGATGAAAAGCGCTTGGTCGCGCCTCGTGTTGATGGGCTGACGTTCAGCGTTGTTGCCGACAGATACGCCGGAGCTTACTGTCCCAGTTGCTGACACCAGTGATATGGGAATGGCATGACTGCCCGGAGACGGCTGGATGCGAATCGGCCCGGAGTTCACCAGGGCACTCGAAGTACTTTGCCAGGCATACTGGCAAGCAAGTTTCGAACCTGCGCCCGTTCCAGCGAACTGTATCTCAAGTCCGAAACCGGCCTCAAGTCTTGTATTCGTGAAGACGGCTGTCGCCCATGACGTTGTAAGATCGACTCCAGTGATGAGCACGATATCCTCGAGTGAAAGGTCGTGACCACAATCCCTAGCGAATCGTAGCCAGTTTTCGATGTTGGCCTGCGTGTACTCCTTATAGCTCAGAATGTGAAGAGCGTCGACCCACTCAATAGGATCTGGAGTGACCAAGATTGCGCCACGGTCATTGCTTGACTCGAACTCGACCGATCCACCGAAGAATGGCCTACAACGGTTCCGTTCAGACTAGCCACTCGTGAAGGAGAAGGTCAGTACGTACCCTGTAGCGTCCACCCCCAAGCGCTTTCGAGTGACACTCGTAGAAAGCCATATCTGAGTGTTGCTGGGCACGCGTCTGACGTCTCGTAGAGGCAAGCAACTGAATCCATCGGGAAGGTTGTCCGCCGGAGGTTGCCCTCCGACGCCAGGTTCGAGGTGTACGTTGAACAGCCTCACGAAGTCGCCACCAGATGGACTGGTCACGAAAAAGCTTAGATCAATGCACAGAAGATGGTGACGATGTGATGAAAATGGGACTGACTGAATATAACCGACATCGCCAATGTCAATTGCCCGTTCGAGTCGACCATCTCTGAGCCCAGGGTGCGGAACGGCAATCGGGTGCCCCCTCCTGAACGTAGCGGCAAGCTCCTCAGAGTATACTTGATGTGGCGCAAGGCCTGATGGCATAGCGTTGCGACCGTCAGGGTATATCTAGGCGAGCACCTCGGAAGATAAGTCAGTTTATATGTAGAGACGGTGAACAGCCACGGCGTCAGAATCCAAGTACGACAGACCGGATTCGGTTCACGGATCTCTCATGATCATCCGCAGTACCTTCGACAAGCGCAAGCCGACGTGATCGCAAACGAATATCATGGGGCGCGTAGTCTGTCCATGGATGGGGTACCGCGTTCAGGACTCCTGCGCCCCGCCTGACTGGAAGAACATCAAGTATTCCCAGACACTTGTTGTGGAGTTATACTGACGGATCACGTCAAGGCATCGAAAGCTGGGACACTACATGGAGATATCTGCCGCTCGTATCGGATAGTTAAGTATCTGGGCGTTACATGAAAGGACGCTCCTTGAACTTCACGCCTCTTTGCTGACTTTGGGTACGAGCTCGAACACGTACTGCGCGCCTGGCACAGCAGTGCCCGCGAGAGGGTCGGGCGAAGATTCGGGCGGTGCATGGCGCATCACGCCATGAATGCGAGTTTGGGAATCGAACACCCACACCTGACCTCCAGCGGGCGCTTCTGCTGGTGTCCGTGCAGTGCCCCGTCCATCCCACGTTGCACACATGCCCTCGCCTCGAATAATCTGAATAAGTTGGGCGGTCTCGACGTTGTGGACTTCGACAAAATGTTCGTTGAAAGCGACCACATAAGGCGCGTTCCAGGCAATCTGCTCTGCTTTGCCCTCCCATTCCATCAGCGGCTTGTCGTGGACTGGGTCACCGTGACGGGTGACGAATAATCCGAACTCTGCGAATCAACGCGTCAGCAGGTTTGAACTTATGTGACAAGAGTAGCGAGCATGATACGCACCCTCGTAGCAGAGTAAGAATTCGTTCTCGCTCGTTCTCAGTATCTTCATCGGCCGACACGAGTCGCATCGCTTCGCGAGTTCCTTGTCCAAATTGTCGCGTACTGGGATCGTCACGCTGACGTCGTCTGTCAGATCCATGATCGCGAACCCTTTTTGGTACGATATTGCGGCGCGTGACTTGAGAAACATCATGTCGTAGCAATCGGCGCCTTGGAGGAAGAATGACTCCCTATGTACGCGGAAGCAGCGGTCGTCCAGTCCGTACTGGGTATGCCCTTCGGTGCCGAGTGAGGATTGAACAGTCTCCTTCAACGAGATAGCTTCGAGCACGCGGAACGTGCTGTCCCGGTTTCTTTTCCACATGTACACTAGGAGTGTGCGGCCGAGGATCTGGCCCACAGAGAAGCAGACGATCTCCTCGCTCAACTTCAACGGCGCGAGCGTCGCGTCGGTCTGAGGCGCGCCAATTGACACGATCAGGTCAAGAGGGTATGCGGATAGAGTGCCATCCGCCAAGACGACGAGTATGCCGAAGTCCTCGAGAACAGCACATTGGGTGACTCTCTTCAAGTCGAGGACGTGACGGATGCTCGATAGATCATCTTGAACGCCAGTCCAGACGCCCTCGTCGCCGCCGAAGACGATATGCACGCGCTCATCTTCCTTAGAACTGAACGCTAAGCTGCACGTCACTCTTCCAGTGATGGGTGTGCCGGTGCCTGGATCGCCGCTCAGCGGTTTGACGTCGAACACCTTGTTCCCTTCCTGAGTAGCTATCCGCAAGCTCTGCGCCTTAGACAACTTTTCCTTCCACTCCACGCGCGCCTCCTCACTCTCCGCGTAAAGGGCACACGATCCACTTCGGCCCACGTGTGCAATCTCACACGGGTATACAAGAAGTGAGTCGTCGCTATCGCCAGAACGAAGCAGGCCGCCCAAAGTAGCCAGTAGGTTGGGGCTTGGCTGAACGGCGCCGCGCTGAATCGGCGGGTGCGCAACGTTCGTGGTCGCTAAGAGCTCGAGCGGTATGGGGCGACGAGTAACGTGATAGTTGGTGATACCGTCTTGCTCGCGAGGCTCCGTGATGACCACTAATCAGGAATGAGCACCCATGGCGAGAAAAGAGTGATCTGTGTCTCCACGCACGATAATTGTCGAAAAGCAGGACGAAGAGCTCGGTCCATTTGTGTGTCCGACCGAGGCCTATGCTGGAATGGCTGAATAGCTTGCCTTGGTGTATGAGCGTGCGAGCGTCGTCCGAGAGGCCCAGGTCGACAAACTCTCCTGGCTGCCAGACCAAAGCCGCGGCATATGCCTTGACTCTGTCTTTCTGTCCAGTGACCGCGCCTGCTGCAAGTATGATGAGTGACCTGAAGAGTGGAGGATGAGCCTCATCGGGCGGAAGTGTTGACATACCTGCATCGGACACCTGAAGAGTCACTTGGCTATCTGAGGCCATACTGACGACGGGAAATCGCCGGGCGCATAGGGTAGTGGCCGAACATAAGTAAGTGGGCCCGTAGAAGTCGTCGAACAGCCTCGGCGCTCGAGCCTCGCTTCTTCGTCAGATGCGCTCAATCTGGTCTGTACAGTTGTAGGCCGGTACGCGTAACATCACAGGCCAGTGTATGCTTCGCCACGTCATGTAAATGGTCTTCTGACGTCCGCCATCGGTGCACGGCATTGAAGCTGAAGAACGGATGAACGCAGTAGGAGAGTTCTGCGAAGCGTCTGAGCGAGCCGGAGCCGACGCGCTGTTGAGCATTATTTGGCTTTTGATTGTGTATTTCAGCTTTTTCGCGCGCGAAGAGTCCTTCGCTTCTCACTTTCATCATCGTCTCGTACAATATGATATCGTTCCCCCTCCTTCCCCCCTTTCTGCCTTGTGTGTCTCGACATACTTTACACGGCCTCTTTCTGCCCGGGCAGCGGCAGTGCTTTCGGGCATCTACCCTGCACCGGTTCTGGTGAAGGGCCGAGAAGGATGGATCCTCTCCGTCTAATCAACGGATGAGTTGGCGCTTGAGAAGTGCGTGCCTCCAAACGATGGGGTTTGCACGGTTATGTGTTGCCATATATATTCCCTTTCCCCTCCTCTGTATTCTTTTGCACACAATATATGACACGTGTACTCTCGTCCTTTTGCGCAATTTAATGTCCATTCCCGTTCTGTCTTCGAACTCCGGATGCATGAGTTTACGTCTGTGGCTTGTGTCGACGTGCTCGCCATGATGCCGTTGCAAAGGCAGCGCAAGAGAATCTGAAGCGGAAAATGGCAGAGAAAATAGTGGCGGAAAAGACCAATGGAAAGGCGCGAAGCATGTGACCGCGTTTATATGCGCCTCGCGCCGGCGTTGTTGGTTCGCGTCGTTTGTGATCGACGTTGCCCTCGACTCTCCTCCCGCCACCACCACCATCACTCCTTTTCTCCCGCCATCATGAGCGGCTCACAACCGCAATCCGGCTTATCCGCCATACAACGCAACTTCACTCCTAATGTCGTCAAATCCGAGCCCGCGTCTCAGCCCACAGCCTCTCAGGCGCAGAAGAAGAGCAAGATAAGCGCGGCTATGCGCGCAGCGATATCGCAGGGCATCGCTAGCCGTGGCTCAGAACCGCCGCCACCGCCAGCCGCGAGCTTGAAGAGGCCGAGTAACGGCGTCGAGCCCCCGGCGAAACGCCACCTCCCATCGTCCTGGAACGAGAACCACCCTCGCGCCTCAAGCTCATCTTCCTACAATTCGTCATCCAACACGTCGTCTCGCGCAGCTGCACTCTCTGCTACGAATGGAGCGGGAAGAAAACCGGCACCCATCAGGCAGGAAATCGACGACTTGATTCAGTCGACACCACGTGTGGTTACGGCGAGCAGTACGAAGAACAAAGCACCTGCTGCGATATTTCTCAGCGAGGAGCAACGCTATGTACTCAGTCTTGTTGAGAAAGGGGAAAGCGTATTCTACACGGGTAGTGCGGGTAGGTGGCCTTTTCTGATTTCTGTGGACGAATACCCGCGATTGAGTGAAGACAAGTAACGAAGGCTGACGTCCAACCATTACAGGAACGGGAAAGTCGGTACTTTTGCGAGAGATCATCAAGGTGTTAACGAGGAAGTATCCTACACCGGACGGCGTTGCGATCACCGCAAGCACAGGTGCGTGCGATTGAGGCGGTAGGCGCATATATGCTCACGATGCATTATGCATACTCATCTCTTCGCCTTGTTCGGCACTGGATTCTTCCTCGTTCCGGTACTCTTCACGTTCGAAGGCATTGCGGCGTGCAATATCGGCGGTATCACCCTTCACTCCTACGCCGGTATCGGGCTTGGAACGGATGAGCCCGAAGAGCTCGCGAAACGTGTCAAAAAGAACCGCAAGAATAGCGGTCGCTGGTTGCGCACAAGAGTACTCATCATTGATGAACGTGCGTGTCCTTTTCCCTGCGCTCTTATGTTTCCGACTGAGGAATCAATAGTATCCATGGTCGATGGCGATCTATTCGACAAGATCGCGCGCGTTGGAAGCCTTGTTCGCAACACCGCTAAACCTTTCGGTGGCATTCAGGTATGCTCCCAAATACTGTTGAGGCTACGATCCGTGTCTCATAAGTCCTGACAGCTGGTCGTCACCGGCGACTTCTTCCAGTTACCGCCGGTCAATAAGGGCGGTAAGATGACCAAATTTGCATTCGAGGCTCAACTCTGGGATCAATGCATCAAGCGCCGTATCCTCCTCACGAAGGTCTTCCGGCAAAAGGATCAGAGTGAGTCTAACTTGATTGCTAACGGGGCGGTCAACGAGCCTGACACTCCCGTCTTCTAGCTTTCGTCGACATGTTGAACGAGTTGCGTTACGGCAAGCTGTCACCCAAGTCCATCGAGGCTTTCAAGGGGCTCTCTCGACCAATTACCTACGAAGATGGGATCGGCCCGACTGAACTATTCCCACGCCGTGAGGATGTCGATGCGGCGAATAACGCTCGCATGGGCAGGCTCGCGGGTGTTTCACGGACGTACGACTGTACATCAGATGTTACCCTAACTCGTTATTCACGTTGCACTTTAGGTTCGTAGCGCGCGACGGCGGAATGGCCGGACCAGACGAACGCAAGCGGCTCTTGAGCAACTTCATGGCACCCGAGACGCTACTGCTCCAAGAAGGCGCGCAAGTAATGCTAATCAAGAATGTCGACGAGACGCTTGTGAACGGTAGTATGGGCATCGTCAAGCGTTTTGTGGATCCCGCCAAATACTCTTCCGAGCAGGACGACATCATCGGAGGCAATAAGGGCAAGGACGCGAAGGGCAAGAAAGAAGAGCCACAGCGCGCGGAGAAACTCGTCCCGCTTGTTGAGTTCAGCACGCCTGGTGGAGGCAAGCGTCCCATCCTTGTGTTGCCTGAAGAGTGGAAGGTCGAGTTGCCGAGCGGAGAGATACAAGCCCGGCGACAGCAGGTCCGTCGACTTCACTGTCTTCTCAACTTCGGCGCGCAGCACTAACCCCATTGCACCTTGCAGTTACCCCTTATCTTGAGCTGGGCCATGTCGATCCACAAGAGCCAGGGCCAGACGCTCGAGCGCGTCAAGGTTGATCTTGGTCGTGTGTTCGAGCGTGGACAGGCGTATGTTGCGCTCTCGCGCGCTACAAGCCTCAAAGGGCTCCAGGTTCTCAACTTCAATCCAGAGAAGGTGCGCGATGCTGTTTGGGGTCTATTTGTCTTGGATCGTCCCTTCTTGCCCTTCCATCCGTCGTTCTTTACACATTCTTTCCTGAACCTTGTCATCCCGACCTCCCCGCTTCTCTCAAGACCTGTCTGATGGGTTGCTTCTGCTGATTCGAGCGAGAGCTGACACGCCTGGCTAGGTTTTGGTACATGATAAGGTCGTCGAATGGTATCGCGGACTTGAAACCGTTGGCGAGAAGGCGGCGTGAGGGCATCGATTATGTTCATGAGCGTAGGCGTAGGAGTTTAGGGGAGGTAGGCGCGGACCTGTATATCATTATTCCATTCTAGTGCATCCATCTACTCTTGATCACACACATGTCACTACTGTCTTGCGACACAAACGCTGTTGGCCACTTCGGTTCTATTCCGCTTGAGTTCTGACTGTTCCTTCGTCTACTCAGCCGCTATACGTTGTCGACAAGCTGTGTCGTACGCCGGTTTTGTGGACACCCGGCCGTTGCGTCAAGGTGAGCTCGCATGTCATCTATCATGAAAGACACAAGCTGAACGGGCTTGTGAAAAGATTGGCAGAGTCGGGCTAAATGACAAGGTTGACGTTCGGCACGTCCAGCGCGGACTGCCACCGTAGTGTGTACGCTTCTCACTCTTCGCTTCGATCTGGCCATTTTGCGCTCTAGCAGCACTTCTCGCTCCCGTCGAGTGTATTGCACACTCGACCAGCGCGCTGCCGCCCCAGCCGGAAGGCTCAACCTTGCGTTCGCGCCGGATCTTCTTCGGCACGCCCGTATATCTGTGTTCATCGCTGACTATCTTTCGTCTATCGCCGGAACCAGAGCGTGCTGAACTCTACACGCAGCTGTGGCGAGCCAATAGGATGCGCGACAACCCGGGAACGGCGGGCCGGGGCACCGGTCTAACGTTTTCGCCTTCCCCTGCCTCCCCTGCGCTTGTGAGTCTGGGCGCGGTCGGCCCTCCGTCCGCTGACCCGGTGTGTCGTACTCTCATAAACCCCATGGGGAGCTCTGGGGATTCCCCTCAACTTTCACAAAGTTCCCCATTCTCCCCCACACCCTACACACCCACCATGTCCGCGTCCGACAGCGAACCCGACGCGCTCTTCCTGGGTCTCGACCTGTCCACACAACAACTCAAAGCCATCGTGCTCGATGAGGATGCCGCGCTGGTGCACGAGTCAGCCGTCAATTTCGACCGCGACCTTCCTCACTACGGCACGACGAAGGGCGCCCTCGTCGGTCCCGCTGAGGGCGAGGTCACTTCACCCGTCGCTATGTTCCTCGAAGCGATGGACCTTCTGCTCACTCGCATGCGGGTCGCCGGTGTGGACTTTGCGCGCATCGCCGCCGTCTCTGGTGCAGGACAGGTACGGCGCTCTTCCATGTTGTAAGTACCTTGCATACGTGACTAACGCCTATCTCTTTTAGCAACACGGGTCCGTCTTCTGGTCTCGCAGCGGCGACAGCCTGCTCAACTCCCTCGATCCTGCGACCTCTCTACTCGACCAGCTTGCTCCAGGCGCCTTCTCCCTCCCTAACGCACCTATCTGGCAAGACTCCAGCACGACAAAGGAGTGTCGCGAAATCGAGGCTTCCGTTGGCGGCGCACAGGCGCTCGCAGATCGCACTGGTAGCCGCGCATACGAGCGCTTCACCGGCACCCAGATCAAACGTATCCGCCGTGTACACCCCGAAGCCTATGCTGCGACAGACCGCGTCTCCCTTATCTCTTCCTTCCTCCCTTCTCTCTTCCTCGGCAAGATCGCGCCTATCGAGATCTCCGATGCAAGTGGGATGAACCTCATGGACGTGCTCACCTGCCTCTGGGACGATGAACTCCTTCAGACTTGCGGCGGGCCGGAACTACGCGCCAAGCTTGGTCCTGAGCCCGTGCGCGGAGGCACTGTTCTCGGCACGGTCTCCCGCTGGTGGACCGAACGCTGGGGTTTCTCGCCCGAATGCATTGTTGCGCCTTTCACGGGTGACAACCCCGCCACGATGGTTGCACTCTCAACTCCTGGTGACGCCGTCCTCTCTCTGGGCACGTCGACGACCTTCCTTCTCGCCATTCCGCCTCATGAGGCAGCTCCCGCACGTATGACCACCTCGCATCTGCTCGCCCACCCGACTACTGCCGGTGCTTCTTTGGGCATGCTGTGCTACAAGAATGGCGCTCTCGCTCGTGAGCATGTGCGCGACGCTCATGCCAGCGGTGACTGGGCGCGCTTCAACGAGCTCGTCGAGGCAACACCAGCAGGCAACGCCGGTCGCTGGGGCTTCTACTTCCCCTTGCCCGAGATCATCCCACCAGGCGTATCGGGCGACCACTTCTTCCAATCCTCGCCCGATGGCTCCGTGTCAAAGGTGGAGATCATCGCAGAGGAGGCTCACCCGCGCGCGATCCTCGAATCGCAACTGCTCTCCATCCGTTCGCGTGTAGCGGCCATCCTGCCTCCCAACGCCCCGCCCCTTCGCCGCCTGGTGCTCACGGGCGGATCTTCGCACAATGCGACCATCGCGCAGATTGCCGCGGACATCCTCGGCATGCCCGCATACATCGCCGCGGATACCCGTGAGGCGGCCGGTACGGGCGGTGCGCTCCTGGCACGCTTCGCATGGTGGCGTGCTCAAGCCGGCGGTCGCGGTACTTTCGAGGAGATGCGCGCTATGGACTCGCTACGGATGCGTCGTGTCGCCGCGCCCAAGGAAGACGTTACGCGTGTGTACGACGCTCTCGTTGAGCCGTACCGTACATGCGAGACGCTCGTTATCAAGGCTTGCCCTGCAGCGGTGGTATGAGTCACCGATACTCTTGACCGTCGAGGTACTATGGACTCGGGATAGAACTTTACTTTGGGTTTTCGTGGACGGACTGCTTTCAATATTGAATATACCTAGAAGATGTACGATATCCCGGCAATTGCTTGTATAGCCTCTTGTCCGTAATCCCCAATACCAACATTGAATTCGATTCTCTCTGGACCTTGAAATGACATAGATACTCTAGTTTGTCCCTGGACTAGAGAGCTCGATCACAATGGGCGCTCCTAATCCGCCCGAGGACAAATACGGCAGGTTGTTGAAGCGTCATTTTCGAGCGCACTCTGGAGCGCGACCTCGATGTACCCATATGACACCTCAGCGTGCCAGATGCAAGCCTCGAGCTCTACTTATCTCGCATCCCTCATGCTGGCAATCCTCGTCTGCGATGTACACTACTTATTCGGTGACATGGCCGCCAGATGCTGGAGGTGTTGTTCGTCGACGCCATTTCCCGCGTTCTAGAACACGCGAGTTGACACCGCCCCAAAACCTCTGATCCTCATTTGTTCCTCGCCTTTTGTCCCCCGACCTTGTGAGCCGCGAGCTCTGGACTTTCGGAAACGGCAGCTGCATAACTTCGGTCTCAAGGAAATAAGGGCTCTTCTGACTGGAAGACAGGAAAGCTTCGAATGGACGAGGCAGCTGTCAGTCAGCGTTATGCTTTCGCCTCCGGACGGAGCCACCCAGAGCCACCTCTAGGAGTCCTGTATCGGTTTACCGGCACTGCAGTTTCACAGAAACGACATACTCGTACACGAAAACGACTCAGGTCACTGCGCTATCTGTAACCAGGCCAATGATCAAGAGATGGAGAGGACAGTCGTACATCCACAAAAGATCGCTGTGTGTCCTTGTTCGCCGGGCTGGGCCTTGCACTGCGGTACCGGTCTACGTACCGATCCGCGCGGAAGACCAAGAAGTTCCAGCTCTCCTCCGTCACAGCGCCACCGTACCCTATATATAAGAACTCAGCATGCTCGACTCTCCCATTCTTATCTCCTGACCCTGCACACGACCCACCAACCGCGCGCCTTGCCACCACTCTGCATTCTGAAAGACCTCTACACCAAACACTCAAGCACCAAAACATCATGGACGCCACCACTATCATGAGCGCAACGCTCCCCAGCTCCATTCCCAGCGCCGAACTTTCTGCGCACCAGTCGCACGATCCCTCCTCGACAGACCACGCGCAGCGCATTGTACGCAGGAGAAAGAGCTCAGGAGCCCTCCGTGACCAATTCGCCGCTGACGGACGGCGCTCACGAGCCCCCAGCGTCAGTGGCGGAGCTCAACCGGTTGACCAAGCCCCACCCGTACCGCCATTGCCGTCCAACATGGGGATGTGAACGGAATGCTGCTTCAGTGACGATGACGGTGCCCTCCCTGAGGACACCATGACCTTCTTGGTTCGTTGATTCTCACTACGATATGTTATACCCTCGAAGGCTTACACTTCTGGTGCAGAATGAAGATACCATTTATGCGCTCCGTTTGGGCGGATGTTCGAAGAAAATGAATGTCGCTTCTCTATCGTGCCGACGTTCTTGTGACCACCTTTTGTTGCCTCTAGAGCTATGTATGATCTCGGTCGGACACTTGTACTCACTACTGTATACCTGTATGTTGCTCGCCATCATGTAACCATTCGTGCAAAGGAATATTTGTTCGCTATTGCGGCCAAAGCAATAACCCTGAACCACCACTGGACCTGTATCGTCGATGCCCATACACTCTGAGTGAGCTCAGCATCTCAAAGGGTGATTCCCTGTGATTGCACCACTGTAGTTCGGCAGGTATAGCTCGGTTTTAGCGTACCTATGAGCAAACCCAACTACCCCGCGTCGGGGATTACGGAGCCGGAACGGGCGCTTGGCGAGGCACGCGAACCAGCAGCTTTGCTTCCCGCCATGATGTTGACGTTATTCCGCCTACTACGGGCTCACAGCTTACAGACGAACCGACCGCCTGACCAGTATCGTACGCAATTCTGACGACGCACAAACACCCAGCCGCGCCCTTAAGAGCTCGAGGGAGTGTCGGCGTTTTATCCCTCTGTCCAGAGCCTCTTCAGCGCAGGTCTACCGCTATAACCATGGTTCTGAGTCTCGCCGTGGCCTTTGCAGGCGTCCTTCTGGGATCGGCTCTCACTCAGTCGAGTGCTATCGGCCTTGTAGAGCGCGATGCTCCAGTTTCTGGCAACTACTCTGGACCATTGCGCCCGCAGGTGCACTTTTCTCCCCCTACAAACTTTATGAACGATCCAAATGGTGCGCGCTTGCGGATATCATACTCGCACTTTAATACTAGTACTGACGGATCCTCATCAGGTCTATTTGTTGATGCGAACGGGACCTGGCATCTCTACTACCAGTGTGCGTAGGGAGTATTCTACTACATGAATACCCACCACTGACAGTTTCTCAGATAACCCGACCGAAGTAGTAGCGGGTAACCAGCATTGGGGCCATGCTACCAGCGATGATCTCTACCACTGGGTGAACCAGCCCATCGCGATCTCCCCGCCAGACAACAACACCCAGGTTCGTCTATTCCAGTGTACGTATTCAGCCCGGCTGAGCAGGTGTTCGTTGCAGGTGTTCTCTGGCTCGGCCGTCATCGATGTCAATAACACGTCGGGCTTCTTCCCAAACCAAACGGACGGCGTCGTCGCGATCTATACCATAAACCAGATCACGCCCGCCCTCCAGACGCAAGCGATTTCCTACTCGCGCGACGGTGGCTACACTTTCGAGGCTTACGAGGCGAACCCCGTCATTCCGAGCGCCTCTGCTCAGTTCCGCGACCCGAAGGTCATCTGGTTCGAGGACCACTGGGTTGCGGTCGTTGCATACGCGCAGGACTTCTCCATCGGCATCTTCACCTCGCCCAACCTGAAGGATTGGACTCCGACCTCCAACTTCTCCCACGCTGGTCTCCTCGGGCTTCAATACGAGTGCCCGAACCTCGTCGAGGTACCCGTCGAAGGTTCTGACGAGACGATGTTCCTCCTCGCGATCTCCATCAACCCTGGCGCGCCCTTGGGCGGATCAATCACGCAGTACTTCCCGGGCCACTTTAACGGCACGCACTTCGAGGCCGTCGATGCGGCTGCGCGCATTGCGGATTTCGCGAAGGATAACTATGCCGGTCAGTTCTTCTACGGTACGCCGGCTGGAGAGGACGCAGTAAGCATTGCGTGGGCGAGCAATTGGCAGTACACGCAGGTGCTGCCCACGGATACGGAGGGCTGGCGCAGCGTCATGTCGCTTCCCCGCCGCAACCGCCTGGCGAACCTCACCCGTATCGGCTACGACCTTGTCTCGCTCCCGTACGACCTATCGCCTGTGATTGGAGAGCAGCTTGCGCCGAATGACACGCTCTTCAACTCGGTAGTCACCGTCGACTACAGCAACGTCTCGTCCAACGCCCTCTACTGGGAGCTTAACGTGACGGGTCTGACCTCGATCTCCGCCAGCACGTCTTTCAACTTCACGCTGTCCGCGTCGGCCACGGACGAGAGCGTATCCGGCGGGTTCTTCTTCGGCGATGCTGCCTTCTGGCTCGACCGTAGCCATACGAACGGATACCAGAGCCCGTACTTCACGGACAAGTTCTCTGTGATGCAGCTCCTTGACGCGGACGGGACGTGGACCACGAGCGGCGTCGTCGACCGCAGTATCATTGAGGTGTTTGTGGACCGCGGGAGGTACTCGGGTACGGCGGTGTTCTTCCCGACGAGCCCGCTCAATGTCTTCACTGCGCGTACGGATGGCATGCCGGATGGGGCGCAGGTTTCTTTCGCGGTGCACGCTTTGGATAGTGTGTGGCAGTAAAGGGATGCAGTGTATCTTGTTTCGGTGTTCAAAACTTCAACTCTTATAATGGGAAATATCACAATGTCTACTCTTTTTTTGTAAGAACTGCACGAGTGCCCGACTTGTCAGACAGCATAGCTGAAAACGGTGTATGTGATAGGTGTTGCCAGGTATGGCGTATTATATGTTCGACCTGCTGATGTATGGTGTCTAGTGCGCACGGGAAGCTGTAGACCGATACGTCCAAGCTCGTCTTGACAAAATTACTCGAGACGTGCCGCGGAACGGCAGTGAGCGCTGAGCCGTTCGAGATATTATCATGCTGCCTGGACCACTCGCGCTGGACTGAAGGTACGTCGGGACCTTCCTCTATTTCAAAATGTACTCGGTCTACTCACTGCGTGCAACGCAGATGTACGGGCTGTATGGCGGGTGATCGATCGGTAAGTGGCGGGGTGTAGCAGGGTGTAGCGCCGGATCTGCCGTGCGTGAATGCTACGTCGTTGGACACGCACGTACCGCGGATCTGTCGGTCGTGTGGAGAGTGCTATGATAAAATGTATCGTGCAGATGCTACTAGGGCTCCTCTTCAAGCACCCGATACGTAGTTTTGGTGTAGCATTGTCTGTATCGTGAGGTATCGAATGTACGCTATGGCTTGCTACACCGTCTAGCAGGTGGCTGTGTTCGCGCTAGATACTATTTAAGATTGTGCAGCACTAGCAGATAATACAGCCTATATTCTCGACATGTCTTCCTCTCATGCTCGATACCGTCCTGCTCGGCAGCCCGTCACTTCGGCCCAGCGAGCAGGCTGTCCGCCTGACTGCGAACGACATGACCGGTTCGAGCATGCCATCATGATGACGAGGCTCGAGCGGCAGCGCGAGCGTCTGCCTTCTCCCGACCACGACGCACCTCCCGTCTTCGGGCCCGCAAACCCTTACGACCCTCTCACGCGCGACGGGCAGATTGCGCTCGAGCGACGCGAACGTCCTGAGGCCGCGACGGCTGTCGACCGTTGGCTCGATGCGACTCGCAATCTTTGGCACCGAGCGGACCCTCGGCTCATGACGACGGAGTTGTTCGCCGAGGAAGTGAAGTGCGAGGTGCACGTACGGACTCAGCATGTGCGTTATTGTGGTCCTCTCCATTAAGGACTCTACTTACGAGATGCATAGTATGTGTACCCAGGAGACCCGTCGTCTCCTTTTGCTTCCGACTATCATACATTCTGGACTCTGCTCCTTCGCCTTGTACTCCCCGAGTCCTCGGGCATACGTGCAGGGCTGCGATCAAGCCCTCTGGCCATTCTCGAGGAGTACAACACGGACATGGGTTGGGATCATCCTGACTGGGCTGAATACATGAACCCCGGCGAGGTCTACTCGTGTGCGCAACCGCGCTTTCTCGCCGGCGACTGCTTTGCAACTCTTGCGACAAGCCCCGCGAATATACGCGAGGTATGTCGATTGGCTAGTATACGCACGAGCCGCTATCCTCATAATTTACTTACAGGGTTATTCGGATGCTATGCTCCGATGGGCCCAGGACGTATCGGTGTGTCACTCCCCTTCAAGGCTCTGTCACGGCCCGCTGACCTCGACTTCAGCCGATTCGGCAAGCACGCCGCCGCGTTAGACGCGAACGCCAGGCGCGCGGTAGCGGGGACGGTCTCCGGCGCTCATCGCGCTCCGCTCGGTCAACCTGAGATCTATAAAAATGTATTCTTTAGAGACAGTAGTACTACTTCCTTTTTGGTCTACGTATGATCTTTCAATTTGACTCGCGTTTCGACTCCTCCGGGAGGATGAAGGCAAGTTAGCATGGTGTACAAACACTGCTCAGACGGCAGAAAGACCGAGTGCTTTCAGACATGAGTATACTAGGTGCAGTCTTGTCGCAGTCTTGCCGTCATGTATGTCACGCGATCGCGTTCACGTCTTGCGAGTCGCGAGACGCGACTCGCAAGACGTGCCGCGCGCCGTCATGTAGCCACTGCTCGCGCTTTCGCCCAGAACGACCACATCCTACCATATTTACCCTCAGTACACTGTACGAAATTTACCCGGGTATCTTGGGCTTTCTACCCCACGACCAGCTATCTCGCACCCCCGCCCCGCACATCCGCTCGTGCTCGCCCACAGCGCTACTGTAGTTTCCACGAAGTAATTCGGACACGGCTACTCAGGCCCGAGGAGCAGACTAGCTGGAAAGTACTCCAGTGCTGTTGCATTTTGAATGGTGGGATCGTTGATGCGGTCAAGATCTGTTGGGGGGAGGGAGGAGGGGGTCTGGTCGCCGTTTACCTGGATTGTAAACGACGTCGAACCCCGTTCAGACAGCGAGCACAAATGTCAACCGTTATCTCCACTTCAACCTCCTACCCTTCCTCCTGCCATGTACCTACGTCTGTAAGGTCTGCCTCTGTGTCAGCTTCCGCATCGTACCATAGAAAAAATGTATAGACCCGTTGATTGCATCATGTGAGGGCTTGCATCATAAAAGGCAGCCGTTCCCGCGCACGGTCCTTCGTCTTAGACTACCAACATCGCCAACACTCTACCTCGTACATACAAGTTCGTAGTGGTTCAATGATCATGTCCTATTGTTTCTGCATGTCACTCGGGAGACGTGAACCGCGAGATTTGCGTGTGGAGTCTTGTCGCGCTCGAGTAGCGGGTGTTGTAGCGGCGCTACTATATGTCGACAATTGCCGCTCTGGATACTAACGATAGCTCACCTTGCTGTTTGCTAGCTACGCTCATCAAGGCCTTCTCGCTTCAATCTTGTCTTGAGCGCCGGTATCCTCCTTGGTACGTCGTCTTTTTCTCCCCGAAGCACCGGGTGCTTAACGTCTACAAGTACATGCCGCAATGCTTCTGCCTCTTCAAGAAATGCAACGGGGCCGACATACCCCGCCAGCGCAAGGCCGAACATGCTAGGCAAGATGTCATACGCGGACGCCGGTCTGCAGCCGTCGCCCAGAACCCCGTACTTGCGACTTCTACCCCAACACCCAATCCACCCCCAGCTGCCCACTTTTCCGACGCATTGAGTGCCGACCCACCCCCGCTCACCAACGATCTATACGGGACACCCGAATTGGCGGCGCAAGACGACAACATTGCACCAATGAGCACGGCACAGTCGTGTATGGCCAGCAGCATTGCAGAACGCGACAGAGCAGAAGAAGCAGGAGAGGCATACGTGCGAGCGATGCGTACGAGTTCTAGCGCACCGCGCCCAGAAGATGATATCGGCGATCCTGACGCAGACGACGACGACATGGAGGACAACGAACCTTCACCGTCCGCCTCCCGCCCGCCCTTCCCGCCTCCCCTCTCTACCCCGTCGTCTGCGCCCACCAGCACCTTAGTAACGAGTGCAGCACGACCAACTGCAGATCCGCGGTATCCGGGCGAGAATGATCCGGATCCTTTCGTGCGCACAGCCCGTGCACAGCCACGGCGAAGAGGACAACTTGCGACAGGAGTCGCATCGAAGGCCATTCACCCTGGTGTATATCTGCTCTATCTTCTTGTTGCTTGGCTGCACGCGCAGTGCAAGCTCGCTTTTGTTGCTTGCGACACCGTCCTGCGCGTCGTGGGTCAGATCATCGCCGCATTTGCACCGGGTTGGAGTACAGGGCAACCTCCAGTCTTAGGATCGCTGAAGTCAGTCATGGAAAACTTGGGCGTCGAACCTGACTTCCAAGTACTACCCACTTGTCCATTCTGCCTCGAGGTTTATCCTTCCTCGCGCTATACATCTCCCAACGCGCCTTGCGACCGCTGCCACGAACCCGTCTTCCGATCAATACGTAGCCTCAACCGCCGGCTTCGGCCAGGTGCACGCCTCATCGTGCCGAGCCTGCAATTTCCTATGAAAAGCATTGAAGATCAGCTTCGCGATATCATTGCTGTACCCGGTGTCGAGGATACGCTGGATGGCTGGCGCCAACTTGCACATATCCCCGGCGAATATCGCCGTATCTTCGATGGCCGCATCATCCGCTCAGAGCTCAAGGCTGCGAATGGTCGCCTATTCTTTGAGAACCCTCTGCCGGTACAGACCGGTGTCGCCCCAGAGTTGCGTATTGGATTGTCTATGGGAGTCGACTGGTGAGTCAACATGTGTGCCATGCTATGCTCATCAATTGACGCGACTTACAGGTTTTCGTACCTCCGAAGCCTTATCTCTCCGTCACATTCGTCAGGGCCAATGTCGTTCAGTATCATTAACCTCCCTGCGCATCTGAAGTATGCACACAACATTCATCTCAGCCTCCTCGTACTGAATTCGCCTCCAGGTTTCGCGTGATGAACATGATACTTGTGGGTATCTTGCCGGGTCCGAAAGAACAGGACTTCGATCAAGTGCAGCGCTTTATGCGCCCAGTGGTGAATGAGCTTCTCCGTTTATGGGAGCAAGGTTTTGTGATGAGCACGAAGCGCTACCCGCAAGGCCGGCGCATACGCGTCATCCTTGTCTGTGTCGTGTGTGACAAGCCTGCCGCCCATAAGCTCGGTGGGTTTGGCTCCCACAGCCACACCTTCTACTGTACGCGTTGCTGGATCAAGAAGTCAGACAAGGCAACCGCCAAGGCATTCGAGAAGGGTGGTAAGTGCGTCGCATGGGCCCGTTAAACTATGCTGACCGACATCCCACAGCCTTTGCACCTCGGACACCTGAGGAGCAACTGGAGTACGCGAAGCAGTACGCGTCATGTGCGAGCCAAACAGAGCGCGACACGTTCGTCCGGGCGTATGCCAGCAGATGGTGCGAGTTAGCGCGTCTGCCGTACTTCGATGTATGCCGTATGATTGTCGTCGATCCGATGCACAATCTTCTCCTGGGTATGTGAACTCATCGAGCTCTGTTGTCCTCCCGTCCTCACAGATCTTAAAGGGCTAGTTAAGACGCACTTCTACCACATCTGGGTCAAGCTCAAGGTGCTTCGAAAGAAGAAGGAACTTCGCCGCTTTCACTCCATTCTGGCGCAGGTCCGTGATTTCACAATCTGTGCGCTACGTGTACTGACGTCCCTGTAGCTGAGCATACCATCGTATCTGGGTCGAGTTCCCTCGCTCATGGGCGAGCCGGCTGGTGGCTCGTTGACGGCGGACCAATGGTTGATTGCAGCTACCCTGGTTTGCCCTTTTGCTGTACGTGTTTCATCTTCTTTCCCAACCCAGTCTCCTCAATGACTCCACAGATCCCCCAAATTTGGGACGAGTATGGCGAGGGAGATGCAGAGGTAATACGCCTGCGCCGGATCGGTAACTTCAAAGAGCTAGCCGAGAAGCGCAAACGCGAGCGTGCAGCTGCAAAGGAACAAGCCGCCAATAATGTGCGACGAAGCAGTCGAAAACGCCGTCGCACGGAAAGAGCGCAGGTATGCATACAGTGCCGATGAACTGTCTTCAGTGGCTGATGGCTGTGTTCATAGTATCGCGAAGAGCCTGACGAGGACGAGGAGGTCCGGCCGGACGCTGGCGCTGTCGAGGAAGAACAGGATATCTTTGCTGAGCCTGACGACGAAGACGAAGAGGCTATAGCGCGCGCCCCGCCCAATTTGCATCCCGACGACCCCGCCAATATGGCGAAGCTCTCTCGTTTCCTGCGTATCGTTCTCGCAAAATCTCTGAACGATGCCGAAATCAACACCGCCGATACTTTAATCAGGGAGTATTGTACTGAGCTCATATACGTGTGTCGATAGTCCCTGTGAATCTTTCCGCGCCTCATTTGTTTGCAGCTGTATGGCCCCGATGTTATCAAGCCAAATCATCACTATGCTACCGATGTTCCCGACTGCATTCGTGACTTCGGCCCGCTACACGAGTTCTGGACGTTCCTCTTCGAACGCATCAATAAGGTCTTGAAGAGCTACAACAGCGCAAACCACTCGGGCGGTGAACTCGAGGTGTCCTTCTTCCGCGAGTTCCATCGCACCATCCAGTTGTCCCGTGAAGCAAGTACGCTCTCGCGATATACTCTTGCAATCATGCTGACATATGTATCCTATTAGCTCGCCGCTGCGTCCGCAACTGGCAATATTCATGTCCAGACCAGCATCGAGGCTATGTACAAGTCTTCCGCAGACGATCGCGGAACCGTCCAGGCCCTTGCACGAGAAGTAGACGAAGCACATGCAGACGGTGAGATATGAATACCTGCTCGGTCACAGTCCCAAGTGCTCACGCGCTCACGGGCAACCCCTAGGTGGAGTCCTTTATGAGCTCTCGTCTCGCTGCACGCAGACGAGGATGCAAGATACCCTCTATCTCGCCGTCCTCGGCTATCTGCGACTACGACTTCCCTCGATCGCACTTCAGTCGTGGCTGTCACCAGCTGACGGTATCCCCCTTTTGCCCGAAGCAATGTTCTTCGACTATGTCGTGTTATCTTCGCGTCGTTTCTGGGCCTCGTCACGCACAAATAATGTCGGAAACACGCTCATTGCAGTCCGCAAAGAAGGCGGATATGCTGTGGGCGAGTTACAGGCCATCATCGGGATAGCGCAAGCTGGTGTACCCGTTCAACGGCTTGGGTATGTCAACTGGTTGGTTTCCCAGGATGTATCCATTGCGCCTACCAGCGCTTGGAACAGCAGGTATGTTCACAGTCACATCTCACTCCCATGTCACCATCGATTGATAATCTTCCTTAGCATATCACTGGGCGTCTTCTTCTGGAGGTTCGGGGAACGCAGCACAACATCAGAGTTGATAGTTCTCGAGGATATCGTCAGCCATGTTGTGCTTTCTGAGGCGGTCGTTGCCGGTCGCAAGTGCTGGGCAACAATCATGCCGCATTCATCGCCATCGGTACGTGGGTCCACACATAATGCCAGTTATAGGCAATTCTGATTATGAATCTAGTAATGTACTCTATTTATTGATAGTCAATGCTTCCTCTCGCGTCTCTTCATACCCTCCACCGCGTCAAGCACCCGTGCTGCTGCCACTACCACCCGGTGTTTGTGAGTGACTCCTTTCGCCATTGCCGCCGCTACCAGACGTCGAGAGTTCTTCGCACTCCCGAAGCCACTCATTGTCTGCTTCGGTGAATAGACTGTCCGGGAGCTCGAGGTTGAGAGCATCCAAGACGGCCGGTGGCGCGGGCGGAAAGTCTGTCTCCTGGTATACGTTCTGCGACTGAAGCCATGCAGTACTGATGCATTCACGCCACGGAAGTTGACCGGCCTCTCCCGCTTGAGAGGGGGCTGCTGATAGAGCGTTAGCGAAGAAGCCTGGGAAGACCTTGTTCGTATTCGCGCTCGCTCGCTTCTGCACGATGATCTTGAGCAATGCTAAGTACAGCTTGCGCATCTACGAAGTGGTGAGCTCACATTGACATTGATTGGTACCGGCTACTACTAACCTTGGGTGCTTGCCAGATTCGTGCACGCAACTCCCAACCCGATTTGACTGGTGACGCCGATATGTACGTACTCATGCGGTCATTCCACATACTCAGCTCAACTTCACCCTCGTCAGATGCAACCTCCGGCGCCCATTCACCTTGAATCAGCTGTACGACCCCAGATTCAAACTGCTTCGCCTTGTCTTCGCTTTCGAACGTGATCTTCTCAAGGAGGCGTGCCACCTCGTCCTGCATCTCGTCGGCTATCTACAAGGTGTGTCAGCCACCAGTCTGCCAGGAGAAGATAGTGAGCTTACTCGGTATTGGCGCTGCCCACGCCTATTCGATACATTGTGTGCTGCAGCCTTCTTGGCGCGTTCGGGGTCCGTCTGCTTCCCGTACTTGTCAATGATTGTAGCAAGGAAGCGGTTCAATTTGCTCTTCCGCGTATCCGCGTCGAGCTTCGTCCATTCGGCCTGCCAAGTCGGTAAGTGTGCCAATAACAATGCCACCAAGAGACGCACTTACCGCTTCATCCGGACGTGCTAGCTCTGCCCTCTTGATGGCATTGTCGGCGGCGGTGATGAACTTCTTGTTATGCATCGACTTCCTCCCACCCTTGTAATCGATGAGCCATTTCTCGTGTTCACCAGTAGGCTCACGCAGAGGTTCGGAGGGCTGATCGGGAAGGGTATAGGGATCGGTCTTTGCTGCGATATCGACGCCTTGGATCATGTTCGGAACTATGGTATGTATCTTGGTCTTCACGTCGTTAGATGATGTGAAGATTCATGATGTTACAGTGGACATACCTCGACACTCACAATACGGCTGGCCGGCGCCGCGTTTCTTCCCTGAGTCTTCCTTAGTTGTCCACCCTTACGCCGCCCACGACCTCTACCCGATCCCGAATTCGCCAATCCCACTCCCACTCCCGATGGCTGAGGCGTCGATCCCAGGCTACCGGCCGTCTGCCCCAAATCTTGCCCAGTCGGGTAGCCTGCTCGCCCTATCGCTAACAGCTGAGAAGCATATGGTGCAAGAGGTGCGAGTTGCTGCAAGATGCTCATAGGATCGCTAGGGACCTGACCATGCATGGCAGGTACAGATGTATGCGCTAGTGTTGCATGGGCCGTGGGAGGAATGCTCGTAGTAGGCGTCTGCTGCAGTACAAAGTGAGTATCTGTAGCGACGATGTGGAGAGAGTCAAGGAACGAAGATGCCATCAGCAGACGATCACGGCTGCGCGGTTGCTGCCGAAGCTTGGTCTGTAGCGTTAGTCTACCGGTTTTGTGGAGTCCAGTGTGGTGCAGGGTATCGTATGAGTAGAGCACGCACGCCAGGTGCTCGATACCAGCCGATAGGGTGTAGCGAAACGAGCACGATACACGAACGCTAGCGTCCGGATCGTGCGTATATCGGATGAGTAGCGGGTGGCTCGCCACTTGCACGCTAGGTTGTTTGTACATCACGTACGAAGGGTGTGGCATACACCCTCCACATGAGCTTTCATGCAGTGACTGTGTCTGCCATTTTCAGTCCAGTACACGTATTTCGTCCACTTTCTCACTGCACGGTGTCCTTCAGCGTATAATGAGCCTTTGCACAATAGTTCTATCGCCGTCTCAAATAATGATCTTGACCGAAGTGAGAAAAAGCCAAAAAAGCGACCCAACGAGATGATTCGGATACGGGGAATCGAACCCCGAGCTGCCGCGATCTGTGATGAGAGGCGGCAATGTTAGCCGTTACACCATATCCGATACAGGGTCTGGTCATAAGTCAGTACAACTGGTCAACACTCAGCTTTTTGAAGGCTTTGATCCCTTTGCACACACGAGCCTGTATACACACCATTCTACTCGTCTTGGGTACCTAGCATACGAATATAATAGACTATACGTTATTAGATAGCCACAATACGACGGAATGCGAAATGTCTATACATGGCAGGCGCGCCGACGCTGCACGACAAGCGCGCGAGAACTGCGGAAGGAGTTCGCGCTGATTTCCCGCGCGGTGTGTTCGGGCGGCGTCGTCAGGTCGAGTTCGAGGCTGTCGAGGGGGATCCAGAAGCGGGACGGATGTTGCTGCGCTGGGCAAGATCGTAGCCAGAGGAGTGCCCAATGGGAAAGAAAGAAGGGGCCGAACAAAGGCGAGTGCCTCGATGAGGCACGTAGATATTATAATCGGCGTTTCGCCACGTGCGAAATAGGCAAGGCAACGGGCGTGTTTGGCGCGGGTGCTCGAACTTGACCTGTTACTCCATCCTCTGGGACTGTGCTCGTGTATCGTGTCCGGCCGTCTGAGAGCCGTGTTGAATTGTAGAGTACGAGGTGCGAATATTGTACCAGTAAGATGACCGATGCAGCTCACGGATGGGCAGATGTCAGGGCCAGTATCGCACCGGGCGAGCTACACTGTCGAGTACCACAAGCCGGCGAGTGATTATTAGTCTGAGCATCGTGGCCCGGTTGTGTTGATGGGAAATCTTCTGGTTAATTAGTCACGGGCGTCGATCGCGGAGTACAACGATCTGCTGCAGAACATCCAGCAGCACTCCCAGCCCTCTGACCAGCAGTACACGCCCTCCCGCCAGGCCCCACCCCCGCCAGACAAAGGCAGGCAGCGCAATTCCCTAATCAAGCCCCAGCCGTCGCGGATGAGAAAGCAGAGTTTGCCGTCGATGCGCGAGGAGGCCCAGAACCAGGCCCCGCCGTCGTCGCCCGCGCCGCCCAGGCCCTCGCGCGCCAACACCGCCAACCTGAACGACATTTATTCCTCCTCCTCCTCGTCCCCGGCACCCGGCTCGGGTCTTCCCGTGGACAGCCACAACTACTCGTACGAAGACACGATATCCTCGCCGTCGACCCAGTACTCGCTATCCTCAGTCCCGCCGCCGCCACCACCGCCACCGCCGCCCCCAGCGCCACCATCCAGTGCAGGCAGGTCACGCAGCGGCACGGGCACGACCAAGGGAAAGAAGGGCATGCTCGGCTTTATGTCTGATTTCCTGACCACCACCAAACGGCCCGAGATCAGCACGCCCTACGACCCCGTCCACCTCACACACGTCGGCTTCAACTCCAGCACCGGCGAGTTTACCGGTCTGCCCAAAGAATGGCAGCAGCTGCTCCAAGACTCTGGCATCTCCCGGCAAGACCAGGAGAAGAACCCGCTCGCGGTCATGGAGATCGTCAAGTTCTACCAGGAAGGCGGCGGTGAGATCGACGTATTCGACAAGATGGGCCACGCTCCCCTGGCATCCGGCTCGGGCTCGGCCGGCCCCACCCCGCCGACGCCCAGCACGCCCTTCAGCGCCGACCCGCGCCCCGCGCCCCCGCCGCCCAAAAAGCCCGCCGCGCCGCCTGCGGTTCAAGCGCCGTCGGCATTCCGCGCCCCGCCCCCGGCGCCATCGCCATCATCCCTCGACCGATCCGTCTCCCAGCGCTCGGCGCCAAAGCCCCCACGCGACCCCGGCCTCTCGCGCGCCAACACGACCACGCGCGCCAGTCAGCAGGCGCCTATCTCGCCTGCGCCCGCCAAAGTTGCGCCGCCCCAGACGAAGAGCACCATGGCGTCTGCGCCGGTGCCGGACGTTGTCCCGCCCGGTGGCCAGCAGACCGCACCGCCCGCGCCCAAGACGCCCTCTACGGACCGTCGCGCGCCGCAGCCACCGCAATCGCCCGCTGCGACGTCACTCGCGAAGACGAGCGGTGTGGCTACGCCGCGCAGGCGCGAGAAGAAGGATAAAGATCCCGCGCGCGAAGCGGACATCGTTAAGCGCTTACAGGCGATCTGCACCGACGCGGACCCGACGCGTCTGTACCGCAACCTGGTGAAGATCGGACAGGGCGCCTCGGGCGGCGTGTTCACGGCGTACCAAGTGGGCACGAACCTGAGCGTGGCGATCAAGCAGATGGACCTGGACAAGCAGCCGAAGAAGGATCTGATCATCAACGAGATCCTCGTCATGCGCGCGAGCCGGCACCCGAACATTGTCAATTACATCGACAGCTTTTTGCATCGGAACGAGCTGTGGGTTGTCATGGAGTATATGGAGGGTGGCAGCTTGACGGATGTGGTCACTGCTAATCTTATGACGGAGGGCCAGATTGCGGCGGTTAGTAGGGAGACGGCGCAGGGGTTGCAGCATCTCCATAGGCATGGCGTTATTCATCGCGATATCAAGAGCGACAATGTGTTGCTTAGCATGCAGGGCGATATTAAGCTCAGTACGTCTATCTTTCTTACTCTGTGTTTGAGGATGTGAACTAATTGGCGGCGTTACAGCCGACTTTGGTTTCTGTGCACAGATCAGCGATCCCGCCAACGCGAAGCGCACGACGATGGTCGGCACGCCGTACTGGATGGCTCCCGAAGTTGTTACGCGCAAGGAGTACGGGCCGAAAGTCGACATCTGGTCGCTCGGCATCATGGCCATCGGTACGTCTTCCTTTGCCCTCCCACCATCTCCCCATCTCCATCTCCATCTTTCGCCCTATCACTTTCCCTCACGAAAGAACTTGTTGCTGATATGTTTCTGTGTACCCGCAGAGATGATCGAAGGTGAACCGCCGTACCTGAACCAGAACCCGCTCAAGGCGCTCTACCTCATCGCGACGAACGGCACGCCTCAGATCGCGAACCCTGAGGCATTGAGCCCTGTGTTCCGTGACTATCTGGCGAGGACGCTTGAGGTCGACGCGGAGAAGAGGCCGGACGCCAGCACGCTGTTGAGGGTAAGTCGGCCGTGTTCTTGCATCACTCCATGTGGGATAATACGCTGACTATGACTTGCAGCACAAGTTCTTCGAGAGCGCAGAGCCGCTCCGTACGCTTGCGCCGTTGATCAAGGCTGCGAGGGATATCGCCAAGAACCGATGATCTCCTCGTCTACCCCCTGGCCACAACATCGCACACCTGTCCCATTATGTATCGAGTACCGCTGCTCCCACCTTCACCGCATACACCCACGCCCACCACAATAAAGAACTGTTCCCCGCGGATCCCCGAGAAATCGCACTTGTATCTGTGACCTCCGTTCCCGTACATCTTCAGCGCCAGCCTTCATACCTTGCCCATTGGTTTTTACCCGAGATATAACCCCCAGTCCTTCTCCGTCCTATTTTTACCCTGACACACACCCATGTTCACTCTGTGCGACGACTGACTACTACATACGTTCGATACCTTGTGTTTTACTCTTGAGAGGTTTCTGACGATACGGAAAGTGCTGCTGCTACTAGATTTGATTATTATGTTGTGTTGATCAGACGGGGTTGAGCGGGGAGATGCTAGGTTCTGCAGGGGCGGAGCCTCGGTAGCCCTATGAGCTGTAGGTCATCAGAAGGAGGACGGAAAGAGTCCTGTTATTTCATGGTTAAGAACATACGTAGTCGAACGGTAAACACCTTACTCGAGACTGGAAGGGATGTGATGTTGCAAGGCGCGCTTCGGCCGATGGTTCGCGAAGCGCGAGGGCTCGGACTCGCACTCGAGCCGAGCTGTGGCAACTTGACCTCAACCTCCACCAGGCCGCAGGCGTCAAAACCAGTCTACACTATCCCCAAGTTGTTCCCCTTCATGCGATAGCATTCTGGCTACAAAGCTACTTGACGTTGACCTTCGTCGCGGCATGTCGCCCGTCTTATGGTTTCCATCACAGCTGTCCGGCACAGCGAGTCGATCATCACGCTTTCCTGACTGAAGCGTCCTTCATTGGCCGAATACAGTGGCAGACATTCCTGTCTGGACTGTGGTTGGCGTGACTGTCGCGGCTATCGCCGGTCACGACCTTCCCCAGCTTGACGTTGTCAAAGTTGCACCCAAACTACCATCTCGCGATGCCGCCCATCCGGTCCACACTTGCGCGCAACTATGACTCTTTTTCATCGCGTCCGCTAGAAGAGCGTCAAACTATAATGGAGAGCTGGAGAGCGTTAGAGCGCAGCATTGAAGACGGGTCTTACCATCGCGCGACATTGGAGGTGTTGAAGGATGACCGAAGGAAGTATGGTCGGAGCAAAATCAATACAAAAGAACTAGTACAAACCTTCATATCTACAGTGGCTATCTACTAACTGGCTGATAGCAACTTCCGGTGCTCCCATCACTGGAGAAGAGGATACCTCAACCACCACCTCCACCTGCGCCGAAGGCATACGAATACCATGTCAAGATCGTACCTATACCATCTAGCGACTTATCGCTCGAACTGATACAGCGCAGCTCGACACACCTCGACATATTCATACTCGACAAAGACGGCACGCGCGTGCAGATCCCTCCACACCTTGAACTCGTGGATGCTGTAGACATGCGTCCCGTCGAATCCTGTGCCATCCAACCGGATATGCCATACTCTATGTGGAGCATAGTGAAGAGCGAGCGATACGCCCTGGTGGGCCTGGACGCTGGAGCAGTCATATGCCACCTGAAGTTTCGCTGGGAAGTCCGCGTCTTCACTCCTATGCATGTCGCGTCGGCCTAGGTCGACGTCGACAGGTGTATATTGAGTTTGTGCGATGCCGTGTAGGTATAACTAGTGGTGTCATTCTCGTCTACGCTACACCTATAGTCCGCGTGCAATTGCATCATTGATGATTAGTCCTGCCGGTGGCTCATTCGTCTCAATAACTACGACCATATGCATGTACAGTAAGAATATATCGAGCCGTGTCTCGCGTACATAATGTCTACTGCTGAAATTCAATATACATCTTAACAAAGCCAAGCCCCTAGTCTCTGCCCGGATAAATAGATGGTCCTTCGCCCACTAGGTGGGCCGGCGGCTGATCGTGGTTTGGTTGTGGTTGGAGTGTGGCAAACTTGCGCTACACTCTCATGCACCCTTCGTCCTAACACTCATGAGTAGCACTCGCACTCGGACACGAGGTCGGGGAGGTAGAGGCGGCACTGGCACCAAGCGTAACCCCTATACACTGGCAGACTTTACTCCCAGCACAACGCGTGTACGAGCACGTGAGGGCCAACGCCAGCGCCTTGAAGTTGATCGTAGACCTTCGCCACCTTCGTTCTCACCTGATTCGGACGTAGCTCTCGCAAGCGAGCCAGCGGCTGCCTCTCACTCGCTGTCTGGGGCGCACAGTACGGGCGGAGACTATGAAGATCTGGTGTCGGTCAGACCGGTACGAGCGCCGCTGTCAAGCGACTCTTGGGCTCATCTGATGCAGTACCCTTAGGACCCTTTACCTGGCCTCGAGCCCATTCCAGCTACATCACATCCCGTAGAGACCATCGCCATTCCCAATACCCCCGGCATTGTGATCGAAATCACTGAGAACCTCGGCGACATGGGAGCGAGTCGTCTGGTCTTCCGTGATAGCGAAGGGATCATCATACCACCACCTTCATATATCCAACTCTACGATCCGTACTACCCTGACTATATTTGTCAACCGCAGGGCGCCGACGGGGAGTGGTACTATATGCTTAATCAAGAAGGCGGGTTTCACATTCGGGACACTAGGATCGCACAAGATATTTTCGCACTTGCCCCTATATTAGATATGATATTTGTAGAGTAGTATCATATCGCCACTGTGTTGATAGACGGGCCGGGGGAGGGTTGAGCAGAGAGATGGCAGTTCCCTATTGTGAAAGGCCATTTGCCCTAGGGCGACCCAAGTGCTGCAGGATCATACAATGGGGACAAGGAGACTATTAAGTATTGCTTCGTGGCTGACACTGTACCTCGCTCGCCATGTAACGGTGCGTGGCGCGCTTCGGCCGATGGTCCCGATACCCGAGACGCGCGGAGGCAACTTGACCTCAACCTCCACCAGGCCACTGGCATCGACTCCAGTCTGTACTCTCGTGGTACAACCCAATCAAGGAGTGCCCCAGTCACGGTGCAGGGTAGTTGCATTCGTGACTCATCGCGTCATTGAAAGGGTAACAGGGTCTTTCATGCACGTACAATGGGAGTGCGCTTCGTCGATGGTCCGACGCTTGACGCTCTTTGACAACCTCCAACTAGTCACTGTGGGCCGAACCGGACGGCGGCTGCTGTCGGCGAGCTTTCCTCGAAAGGTCTTGGAACGTTCTCATGGATCTGACACGAGTGAAAGTGTCTACTCGACAGAGAATACTGAGCCCGTAGCCATCTCGAATACGATGACCGACATTCTGGATGCTTCTTTTGCGTCATGTACACGATCCTTGTGGCATAGCAGCCTCAACATGTCGCCATACTAAACGCATCCATGCCACAATGGTCGTAGAGGGCACAGTTCAAGGACGAGAGGGAGGATGTTGTGGCCACTGGCTCTTGCCAACGGCTCATATGCCGCCAGCGGCATCTGACAGATGCGAGCAATATTTAACTCGAACCTCGGTGTCGCCGGCGACTAAGCCCATCTCCAGGTACGACGCCAGCGTTACGACCATCTTTGCTTCTTCACGACAGAACTCTCAAGACAGAGTTCGACTGTTTTCCAACGCTTCTACGAGGTGAGAGGTCGTAGTATTCAAGTGCACCGCCAATGAATGGATACTCACCAATGTACGCCGTAGCTGGCCCAACACAAGATCCCGTCTAAACCTCGTCACTTCCCAGCATCATTTGCTGCATGGCATCGCATATGGATCTTCGACGTGCCAGAGGCAACGAGAACATCAACGCAACCTACAAGTGGATCGTGGAGAGAGTTCGCCACAACTCCCGCACTCTTCCTTGTTTGCTTCCCGTGGAAGTATTGGCAAACATCTTCGAGCTTGTACGTAGTCTCGAGATGTACGTGAGGGGACCGTTCTACTATTCAGAGTGGAACGGTCAAAGATGGGTACGGCTGACCTCCGTATGTCGGCATTTCCGTGCGGTTGCTCTTGGGCATGCTGTGTTATGGACACAGCTAGGCTCCCGTTGCCCTTGGGACCTTTTCCTGAAAAGATCTCGCAACGCCAGTCTCAGCATCAGCATGAATTCCGCATCTTCGAGTGCCTACATGGACCGCGTACTTTCCAATCATCATCGCCTTCGCGAGGTGCATCTATCAGAGCACGGAGGCTGGCGAGCTATTCTCCAACGCGACACACCTCAACTTGAGGTCCTTCATATCACAAGGATTCTATGGCAGCACCAACCGGAAGATCTCATAGAGACTCATCTTCTGACCGCTCGTTCGCCGAAACTACGTGTACTAGAGCTCCACGGTGTTGGAATATCCTGGTCCCTCCCAGCTCCGCCGGCGCTGCGTCGCCTTAGCTTGCTCTCCTACGATATGACGAACCGCGGTATCAGCCTCTACGACGTGATGTCATTTCTCCAGGGTGTTCCAATGCTGGAGAGCCTCGATACATATGACGCGCTCTGGGGAGACAGCCCCATCGACCACCCAGTTGTATCGCTTCCGCGATTGGAGTTTCTTGCGATGGACGAGGTCAATGGAATACCCACGGCCATATGGAGTCATCTACGGATTCCAAACACGTCTTACGTCGAGCTCGCCTTGGATTTTCTTGACCTCGAAGGCGTATATTACGCTCAACTTGTTGCGGCCATCCAAAACCATCTGGCTCGCCCGGGATGCCTCCGCTATACAAAAATTTCCCTTGGAGTGGAAGAAACGAGCGTCGTCGCGATGAGATTCAGCCTATCAGTGCAGTCACCTCCTCCCGATGTATCACTAATGAACGACGATACCAGCGGCGGGTACTACCCTACGTACCCCAGCTTGAAATTCATATCCCACACCGACGGACCGCATCTCGAAGAACCCACTGTCTCCCTATTCCCTGCGGAGTTCGTGAACATGTTCGTCTTGGACGAAAACGTACGCATGCAATCATCGACCATGATTCGCATGTTCCAGAGGCTTACTGCGATTGTGGAACTGAAGGCCGTAGGGACTGGATCCGCCGGAAAGCTACTCCTGTCCTTCCTTGCATACCCTGCAGGTCAGGACACTGAAGGGGACGTGTACCTACCGAAGCTCAAGATGCTCCTCTTGAAGGATGTGGACTTCGATTCCAATGTACCAGACTATGCGGCGCTGCCTGGTATTCAGCGGAGCGCAACTATCTGGGACCTTCTGCAATTGGCTCTTCAGCGCCGCATCACGGACGGGGTCCCTCTCGAGACGCTTGCTATGGATGGATGCTCCATCGATAATGAGGCACTGATTCTGTCCCTCTTCCAATACACTGAAGCGCTCGTCTGGAAATCTCCTCGTTATGCACATGGATGGGACGACGATCACGATGAGTGGTGATTGGTTTCACCGTGCTGATCTGTATCGAGGTTGGGCGAAGATGATCCCCGTCGCGACAGGCCGCTTGTTTTACCACATTGTAACCACTTCGAGAGACATTCACTCACGAAACACTTTCTGAAACATCAATGCTTATTGCTACTGCCGGCTCGTACGCCAAATGACATGATTCCAGAGGTGACATGGTCTTATAAAGTAACTGTAGAATATTTTCCCCAGTACTTGCTGCTGATCCACTGGTGTGATGCTCTTATGATGCATGAATAGCGTGGGATCCCATGACAAGAATATCCCGGTGGGATGTCAGTCTACGATATGTCGTGTACTATCATCTGATGAGCGGTGGCTTGCAGCGTCCAAGTGGCATCCCGTGAGCTGCCAGCGACGTGAGTTCACGTCAACTACGATCAAAGGATGGAGATACATACACGGGGTTCCTTCTCAATATGAATACCCATCGGAATGGGAGTGATCTGGGGCGCATAGAGCCTGCTTCATGGAAGGCCCCATCCACTGTCGCCATCGTCCCAATGTCATTGCCTAGGTGAACGACATCGTATTTGATCTCGGTAACGCTATCTGTCATCACGCGTAGACGAATGTCACTCAAGATGCGGGCGATGTTAGCCCGTCCAGTCACAGACGTAGCTGTGTGAACCCTTGAGCGCACAGAAATGGCGCTTGAAATACGCGGTGTGCTGACCAGATCCATTGGTTGTTGGGGTCAGCGGCGTGACACGACGATAGGAGAACGCAGCATCCATTCGGTACGCATCCGCTAGGCTGGCCCGTTTGCTGTCAAAGGCTGCTACATATCTATAGGTTTCAGATAAGTGATTGAAGTCGCATACGGTCGACACTTAAACCTCACCTTTCAATATATTGCAGTGACGCTGATGTCATCGCCTCTGCTTCGCGTTTATCTGGCCAGTCTTCTGCAAGGCCATAGTCCTCGCAAGGTGAATCGTAGAGCGATACTGGTAGGGCGGCGTCGTTGGTCAGTCGAGCACGATCATGCTTTTGAGGGCGAGATTGCGAGCCAGATGATGGTCGTAGAGCTGACTCGTTATGGCCGGTGCTTGACGAGCCCAACATTTCGACTGCCGAAGATGATGAAGACGTGAACGGCTGCGAAGGTCGTGAGATATCTCGTCGAATGACGGGCAGCTCTGCAGGCGGCAATTGAGTCATCGCAGGCTTAGACGCCCCATGTCTGGGTGAAGAAGAGCGGCGCCGATCACGACTGCCATTTTTTATTCTCTCGGTCCCTGACTTCAAGTGGGCCAAAATACCGTCTGGGGATGCCAACTCGTCTTCGGCCACTGACGTTTGTCGAACGGATGCAGAAGAGATCTCGGTATGTTCACTCGTAAAGCCAATTCCATTCATCTCCGTTGAAGGCTTCAGCGTGTCGGGCATGACTGGTATGTTACTCTTCCTGCAATGTACGATGAATGACATGCCCCTCGGGAGAACAGTGTCGAACTCACCAGTCGAATACCAGACCATCTGACCTATGGGAGAGGGAGGTCAGCCATGCGGTGCTCAAAAGGACACCGCGTACTCTACATACCTCCATAACTGCTTCGTGAGTTCCAGACCGAGCGCGGTGAGCTCGGCTTTCCTCGCGGCGACGAACTTGCTCCTGTTTCGGATGTAATTTGGGGCCACTCTCCTGCAATCCTTCGGCATGGCGTAGAACTTCGCCCCGGTTGTTTGTGGCAGACTCAGGGATGGAGAAGGACTACGTTCGAGTTTGACGGATGAATGTGGTGAAGGTGCTGCGGTTAGGGATGAACTAGATGTGGTATCCAGCGATAGACGCTGGCGCTTTGCAGGAGACGGTCCTATAGCACGCGACAATTCTTCCATGGCTCTCAGCCTAGATTATGGGTTTAGTCCTACGGAGGTGTTTTCTGCGCCCGATGCGTCGTGGTTAAATAGAGACTATAACTAGCAGCAAGCTCCGGATAGTACGCACGCGCTGTCTTCGAGATGTTCTATCTGAACTTAATCCCTTTCCAGGTAGACCGTATTTCAAGGTTAGATTGCCTCGGGGCACTACCAATGACGCGGTACTGTTCACCGAGCTTGAGATCCCGAGTATCGCGTGCTTGACCGGTGTCCGTAGAAGTTCTAGAAAGCAGAGATTGCGACGCCCCGGAAGGGATCGGCGCGGGGTTGGGATAGGCGGGAACGTCAAGAGGTCATGGAAGACGCTTCTAAGGTGCAAACTCGGTGAACGCGCGAACTGCGGACGCGTTCGCGCGCCGTTCCTCTCGCCGCGACCTGACGCGATGGGAAGTAGTTTAGAAGCACCGACGCGTACATTTTCACTTATACGTCGCATTCCGTTCGCTCAGAGCGTTTGTGGCGCCCTCGATGGCAGGTTGGTGTGGATACAATTGGTGACGGTACAAATAACACATGATACACAACGCAGAGTGGGCGATGATAGCAGGAAAATACAAATTAGGACATGAGTATCGTAGGCAAGAACCGGTGAAGGTCTTCGCCATGACCGTGGCGACGTTCGCAGCATCCCTCGGGCCAGCCGTGAGCGTATGCGTAGTCTTTACGAGGTGTACGGCGAGAAAGGCGGTGAAATCGGAGGACTGTGCCCGACTGCGTGCCAGTACGCAGGTTGCTTGCTGCGCAAACCTTGAAGGAGTTCCTTGATTATACGGAGCACGCGTGGACGATACTTAGCGAAGACTTCGGGAGATGCGTCATTGCTCAAGCAGTCTTCTAGCACTGTCCGGAGTTGAGTCGGGGTAGCGTAGAGGTCACTGTACAATAGGTTAGTCCAGCCTATACGGATTCAGGATCCATGTCTGCACACCTGAGGTCGATATCGTAGTATTGGAAAGCGGTGACGGTTGCGTTGAATTGGTTACCCAGCGTCACGTAGACGTCGCTAACTTGCTCATCGGAGACTTGCTGTAGACTCCATCGGCGTAGCATCTCTTGTAGCTCTTTTGTCGTCTCGAGTAGGGTTGCAACTGAAGCGGGAACATCGGCATGACGTGGCTGTCATCGCTGTATTAGTTTTCATGCGATAACATATTGGGCAGCCGGGCTTACTCGCGAGGCGACATTAGTCTGGATATAGGGATATGGCGGATGTTGGGCGCGCATGCTTGGTGCGGTTGGATACATTGTCGAAGAAGGGTGTCGAGGAGGGTAAGGTTAAGGTGCTGTGTCGAGAACATGTCAGACTCCGGCGCGGCACTCTTATATGGGTCGCGGGACCGAGTTGCCCAGCCGCGTGTGCCGCGAATCCTTTCTCGAAGAGCATGCAGAAACACTCACCGCTCACGAGAACGCCGGTTAAATGGAAATCGAAAACGAAGGTGGAAGACAGCGGAAGCAAAACGGGGTTATTGTGGCGAAGCGACAGAACGTGTTTCACGCGGGCGAACAGAGGGTTTGCCCAGGGTTGCAGGATCCTTTGTTCTTTTAAGGCCGGCGGCACGTCACTGCCCTATATGAGAGAAGCGCGTAGAGTGACTACAGACCCAGATGGCGTTGCAAGTCGGGACTCCCGGGATGATAATGGTGCACAGCGCGGATTGCGGCGGTGCTGACTAGGTGATGATACAACAGGGCAGGATCTGCACGCGAGGGACAATGCGCTGCCCCTGCAAGGAGACGAGCTTCTTAGAATAGTGCACTGCTTTTCTCAACACAGGTTCAATAGCGCTTGGGAACCTCTGCACACCGCTTCATCAGGCGATGAAGCACCTCTATGACATAGAACGCATGCTCGTACCCAGCGACATCGATCCTCTCTACAAATACTTGAAAACGATAGGCTGCATGAGACGTTGGGCATAATTATGAGGCGGAAAGCAATGACCGAATATTGATGCCCGGATAATGTTGGCAATATTGAGCACGGCCACATTCGGAATGGTTTGACGATCCCTGGGAGCCGAGGAGCGGAGTAGAGGTAGTACGGGCATTTGTACACGCACCAAGGCTGAGATGTGCGGACTCCGGAGTACTCCGACAGGCAGCACTGGGCGAACTCACGATGCACGGCTGCAACATGGGCACGCTCGCAGGTACCACTTAGGAGGACTCTCTCGCTGAGTTCTTCGAGCTACACGTAGAGCTGGTTCGTTCTCCACTGATGAAAGAATGTCAACGTCATGGGGCGAAGCTCTGGAGGATAGCGAACGCACACTGCAGGACATGGCTGATCGCGCCCAAATCATACTGAATCTCGAGGGGACCGCTGGAAGTTCACTGACGCGTCGTCTGCTAGCATCGGTTGCGCGATTTGATTTGAAGGGCGGGTATGAATCTATTCATGGCGTGCAATGTAAGTCCGGCTCATTGGGGCAGGACGCAGTCGGGCCGACTGGGACAGAGTTCTTTCACGCAGGCCTTCCTCAAAATTTGCGAACACACAAATTATTGACACATAGAGACAGAGAACACGGCGAACGTCAACACGGATGTGATACGCTGAAAGTGTGGTTCATCATGAGAGGAGGAGAAACGCAGAGGCCTGAGGCGCTGTCCAGCAATGATCGGAACTGTGGCAGTTGCCGAACGCTTACCCACGCTGAGAGTGATCTATGTACCAACCGCATGTTATTCGCCGCCGTCATCCACCGAGGGCTGTGAGCTTCACTCATCCCGATCGATCCGTTCTGTACAGACTGGTATACAAGAAGATCTACCACACTATGGGTAGTCGAGCCTAAGGGCGATGACCTCGCTCAGCCTGGACACAACGTCCGTGTCTCACGATAGAACTTCGTACCCCAATCTCTTCCTCAGACGTACAATCGCCTTGTTTTGTCTGCACAGCTGATCTAGACAAAAGATAGAGCCTTCCACGCAGCTTTGGGTAAGTTTACTGAGTCACGTATCAGAGGCCGCGAACGGCATCTCGTGGCGCGCCACTGCGCCCACTCCATGCAGACTCCATGACGCGCGGACGTCTGGGCCGGCCCTAAATCCCGCTGGGTACTACACAGCTGGCTCCTCCGATAAAAACCTCTTCCGGCCTTTTGCTCCTCACGACCATCCTAACGCTCATCTTTCCCCGGGTTTTCATTTTCATCCGCTTTGTCACGTCCTGTTATGCATATCAACCAAAAGCTTTCGACTGCTGAGGTCGTTCGGAACCAAGCAGTGAAGGAGGTTAGCGTGGGTGGCGAGACGCTCTCCATTGCGAAAGCACACGTATGTGTTTTCGTCATAGGTGGTCGACCCGCGAGTAGTGACACTGATAAACTTTCAACTACTTACTATAGATGTGGCGCAATGCGCAACCGCGCGTGTCCTCACTCGCTGAAGAGGCCGAACGTTCGTCTTCGCCACAGACCATGCGCCCGTTGAACCTCTCCGTGACGGTCAAGCGCACCTCCGGCACATCCGCCACGCTCAATGATGGGCTCGAGTCCTCCGTCGTACCCTACCTCGTGGCCATCCACGTTCTTCGTGAAGGCATTCCGATCTCCGCGCAAGCCGAGCTCAACACGTCCCCCGATGATCCCACCTCCATCCATTACGCTTGGCCTGCTCCGCCTGCCATCGGTACCGCCGAGTCTGTCGCTGAAGGTCCCGCGCATGAAGGCGCATACTTTCTTGCGATGACTATGGATAACGGTAACTCTTTGTCGTTGAGCGCTTGGAACGGCCCGCTGTGGGGTGCCCTCCGCAATGGTCTCGATGACATGCTCGACTACATCGCTGTATTGGAGTTCCAAGGTGGCATCTTCCTCACAAGTGAAAGACATCGCGTTGAGGTTATCTACTAAATCAATAGACTGTACTGTATCTTGTTACGTTAATCTTGCACCTCGCATCGCTCGGTTTTGCGTCGCTTTGGTATACACGTCCTGTTGCTGTCGTTTCTCCGGGTTATTTAGGTCAGGGTTAATGAGTGTCCGCAAACAAACGAATGTATTATACTAGTACTACTGTCCGTGGAATGTACAATTTTCCTGCAGTGGGATGGGCATGTCCGTGCGAAGAGGAAGCGACGTGATGATCAAGAGAGCGTATCCAAAGTGATAACAAGAACTTCATGATCCGGTACGTTCAGATGAGGGTTGGCAGCGTGGAAATGCAACATGGTCATGCCGTGGTTCTTGGTCCAAGGCATGGCAGACACTGGCGGCATCGTCCGTGCGGGGTAGGGGCGGCGAGGTGCTTAGGCGAGCTTGGCAAAGCCAACCTGCTTCTTAGCGGCATCAAAAGCGGTGTAAACATTCCTCATGAAGACGTCTCCGAAAACCCAGGAAGCTATCGCACTATTAGTACTCAATAGGAGGAACTGTAGACACGGGGGACATACAGAGCGAAGTAGCCTGGATACCACCGAGGCAGTACATCGAGTGCTCCGCAACCTGGCCCAGGGTGAAGACGTCCTCGGGGATGATGACATTCATTCCACCGAGCGTAACGTTGACTTGAGGAATGTTGTAGCACATAACTATGAAGCGAACCTGACGTTAGCGCCTGAGTGTCTCAATTCGTCCACGTGCGCACCTTCCCACAAGCCAGTAGTCTCATCCTTTTGCGAGCCGTAAACGTTACCGTAGAACGCCTCGACGGTCGCTTCATCCGCAAGGATAAGCGAGGTGCCTGAGTCGATGATGGCGTCCTTGTTGCTGGGAGTGACGTCCTTGTCCCAGAGGGTCATCTTGTCGAACTCGACCTGCCAGTATTTCTAGAGCACCGCGTCAATACCCGGTACGACCATAGTTGAGGGAGCACTCACGTCACCCTGGACAGGGAGGTAGGTAACCTCTCCGGTGTAGAGGTCCTCGTTTAAGCTGCCGAACGACAACTCGGAGCCAGTATCGTTCAGCTTGAAGCCGAAGACGGGGTTGGGGAGCTGGCCCTCGTCGCGGAGAGTCTGCACGATCGGGGAGTTGCCGAGAGTGCTGAGAGCGCCGAAGGAGAGGCCGACGAGAGCGTTCATCTGTCCGAAGAACGAGTCATCGGTGGAGTTGGCCGCGAGGACGGTCTGGCCGGTGGCCTGGAAAGATATATTAGCCTTGATGTATAAGTATCCGTGAGCGTCAGCACGCACCGTCAAGCCACCGATGGTGACAGTGTCGTTGTACTCCATACCCTTCACACCGCCAGAGCCGTAGTTCAACGTGAAGTCTTTGTTAAGCGCCTTGGACGAGGAGCTGGACTTCGGGTCGTAAACGGCACCCTCGAAGCTGTCGACAGAGCCCGCGGGGACAACGAAGTCAAACGAGCCGGTGTCGAAGAGCGCGGTGAACTTCTGTGGCGGTGTGCCGATCTCAATGTCGCCAGTCCAGACGGTGAAGTTGCCGTTGTCGAGGGCAATGTCGGCGCGCTTGTCGAGCGACGATTCCTCGGTGTACTTACTGAGCGGGCATCAGTATACAAGCGGACATAGAGTCACAGGGTACGCACGCCTGAACATGCTGGATGTAGCTTGCGAGCTTGGGCTTGTCCACGATACCCTTGTCATCGCTAATGAAACAGGCATAAGCGGACTTTCCTCCGACCCACGACGGGAAACGCACGTGAAGATAGACCGCAACTTGTTCAGTGCAATCTTCCACTCGCCGAACGTGGGGCTCTCGAGCGGGGCGGCGGAAGCCAAAGCGGGGAGAAGAGCGAGAAGGGTAGCAGAACGCATGATAGAAACCGTAACGAATGAAAGAATGTAGGTGGACTGGGTGTGTCCGGGACGAGGGTCGGGCTGGTGTTGAGACGGGAGAACTTCCTTGTGGGGGAGGAGAAAGAAGAGAGAACTAGACGCTCTCTCGCTTGCAAGAAGGGTCTCGGAAAGTGATGCATCATGTATTATATACCAACGGCTGCCAATCCGGGGTCCTGGAGAAGGCGCGCGTGTGCAGCGTGCTAGCCACCGGACTTACGTGCAACCTCGGATCGGAAGAGAATTGCGACTGGCCCCGCATCATACAACTCTAGCATCTGGACTGGCTCTACAGGTCGCTTGAGGGTCTTGAACACAGCGGTTCTATATGAGCCTATCGGCCAGTTGACAGGATCCATCGCGGTTGAAGTCAAAGCTGGCAGCTGAACTTGCCGGCGGCGTAACATTCGAACAATGATGCGCTCACACGTGGCGACGGCGGGCCAACTGTCTCGGCGACTGCAACGAGGGTGGCTTCGATGCCAAGAGTTCCGGGGAACAAAGATTGTATCAACAGATTCAATAGCCATTTGTAGTGGGCGCAAATACACTCAGCGCGGGCCGACCATCTTACATCGACCGTCCAGTAAGTAGACAATCAAAGTGCAAGGTATCCATTCGTTGAATGGGATGGGTGAACATCATGCAAGCAAATCACAGGATACATTAAAAAACAATGCAAGGCTCTACATCTACTGTTCGTCCGAGAACCCACCGACCATCCTCAAAGCCTCGACCACACGTCTATACTCGCGCAATAACTCCTTGACCTCGCCTACACGCAAGTCATCCTCTGCGCACTCCAAGAATCTTGCATTTGGGGGTGCGATGCGCAGCGACGGCGAAGGTGCCCGTGATGACATGGGTGTGTCAAATCGATTAGGTTGGGCGGCGGGTTGGGCGGCAGGAAAGAGTAGTGATGAGCGACGAGACGCTGGTGGAGAGATCTGTAAGACAGCTAGTTAGCCACGTCTGTGACATAGAAGAGACGCATGTATACTTACTGAAGATGACGCAGCAGCGCCAACGCTGCCCGCTTGCAACCTTCCCAAGCCCGGCATGCTAGCGAGTCGATCACTCAAGCTCTTCCTGCTCGAGACCGTATCCTTCTTCTTCCGTCCTTTCTTCATCATGCTCTCGAAGCTCTTGATACTCCTCCCATCGTCCCGACCATCACTCTCTTCCTCGTCTTCATCCTCCTCGCCGCTCTCCTCTTCATCGCTATCACTGGCAGCTTCGTCGGAAAGGTACGCGGAGTGGACAGAGCCGGGTCGAGAAGAGACTTCGACAAGCTGCTGACCACCTTCGTCGTTCATGCGGGGCGCCGCGAGGCTTCCGAATGAGCGCGCGCGGTCGCGGCCTGGAAGTGATGCTGCGAGACTGGCGATCGAGAATCCGCTCTCGCGACGCAACAAGCCGAACCCAGCCCGAGCAGTATACTGCTCTGCTCCCTCCGCGCCAGCCGCACTCGTCTCGCCACCGGGAGTCTGTCCAGGCAACAATGACCGCAATACGCCGAACGAAGAGTCCACGACGCCCGCGAGCACCTTGTTCGCCGATCCAGCGATAGCATCGACCTGCTCCCCAACTCCCCTCCTCAAACGCGCCGGAACGCCCTCAGCAGGCTCCGCCGCCATAACGCCCGCTCTCGCCACAGGGATCGGGCTTAGGTCCGCAACGCTCTTGACGTCCGTGTTCCCTCCCAGCCCAAGAACCGCAAGGTCGACGTTCTCGAGGAAATCGGCAACGGCAAGCATGTTGACGAGGCAATAGGCTTCTTCACCGCCCAAGCGTTCATTCCGGAATCGTTGGGTGAAGAGTAGATGGGATACGAAGTGTGGCGGGTTGGATTTGACCACGGAGTAGATCATCAGTGGGAGGATGAGGTCGCCAGATACGGGTGTTGGTGTATGTGGGCGGGAGATGACGAGTTGGGGAGACTCTGTCCGGTCGGGTACAAGGGTGGTGTCTGTTTCGGAGGGCGGTATGCTAGATAGTGCGGCATCGACAATCTTCTCGGAGAGAGGATTGACTTCGTGCTCGTCGGATGGCGAAACAACGATGGGTGGCGTGGCTACGTGCTCCGTTGTGAGGTCTGCGTGTGTTTCGACCTTCAGGCCATCTGCGGCGGATTGTGCAGCTGTCGATGAACTGAAGCTTGAGGCAGTAGGCGTCGGTGCGGGCTGATCCTTAAGTTCGGCTTCGGTCTTCAAACGAATCGGAGGTAGTCTGGAAAGACCATCTGTATTCCGTGTAAGTGTGGTATAGCTTAGTAGCGGGAACTCTACACTAACCGACGAGGATCTTGTGAGCGGCGACTAAGATAGCCGCTTTGTCCGCGGGACACCGGCAAGCCGACTGTTCGAGTTGGGATAAAGCTGTGCCATATGCGGATGAGCTTAGCCACTAGCGTGTGGCTGAGGATTACCACGTACTTTCGCCACAACTCTTCAGGACAACCTCGACTTCTTCAGTCGACTGGCCCACATCAACGCCCAGATGCTCCAAGGAGATGTCCATCAAGTTGAGGGCGGCGACGCGACTAGAGAGCGCCTCATCGTGAGACGCATCATCCGCTTTAGGCTGCATGTACAACCTGAGAACACCGTCAGTGAGATTCATGATGTTGGCGATGGGTCGGGCCTACCTGTCATAGAACAGTGAACACATCACCCGCTCAACGCTCTCTAAGATCTCCCTCACTGCATCCTCCGACAACTCCTTACTTCCCTTCTTGGACGTCTTTTCCTTCTCCTTCTCCTCCTCGCCCGTTCCTTCAGGCGTGTGACTTCCGCCACTGCCCGCACTAGTAGACCCACGCCCCGACGATAGCAGATCTGCCTCGAGCCCTGCATAGAAGTCCTGAAACTGTTTCGACAGCTCGTCCGGCGTCTCCTGCGGCGGATCAATCACGAACGGACTGATGTTCAGACCCTTCCCTCTCCTCGGCGTAGGACCCTGATTCTTGACAAACGGATATAATCCCGTACTGAACTCGTCCACTTTGTCGATGAGCCAAGTCGGAGCGCCTGCGGAGGAGAGCGCCTCGTGCATCTCGGCTTTGAGCGCTTTGTTGATCTGAAGGCTGACATCTTTCATGACGATGCGCCTGTCAATCGTGAACGCTGCAACTTCCGCCGGATGTTCCTCGAGTGTTGCGGTCGATGAGGCTGGGCTCGCAGGACTGGCTGTGGGCGTTTGCTTCCCGAAGAGCGAAGCGAACGATGATGTCAGGCGAGAAGAAGTTCCCTGAGCCGATGACGGCCGAGCACCCGGACGAGGCGGGAGCGGTGGTTTCGGTATGGCATGTAGGGGCAACGGAAGGGTTTGTGTATGCGAGGGGAGTGAGTAAGTCGGGTAGGCTTGCGATAGCGGCGACGAGAAGATCTGGGGAAGAGGAGGCAGTGATGCTAACACATTCGTGCGGCTGGTAGGTAGTAGTAGACCAGCATGCATCTTCGAGCCAGGTTGTAAAGTCGAGCGTAATGTCAGGGTCTGACTGAACGTTGATCAGCCACTTCGATGATGCAAGGAGGCGAGCGCTTACTCGACGAGTTTCCCGCGTAGACCTGACATAGTCACGATCGACATAGTATTCTGCCGGGTGTTGTCGCAAAGAGCTATGTGGTCCTTGATGAAGTCGGTCGTTATCTGGACGTTGTGTGCTTGCTCGAGAGGTAACAGCAAAGTTGCCTATATATACATTAAGCGCCGGCAACCGAGTAACCCAGGCATTAGCTTACCTTTCCAGCTGTCAGCGCATTCCAGATCTCCGTCCACTCCAGCCCATGCTCGTGATCCGCCGTGAGCTTCTCAAGCATCTCCCATCCGACGCTGCCAGTTTCCAGCCCAACGGATTGGGCATAGGCTTTCAAGTTCATAAGTTGCAACTTGCTCGTTGCGCCCTGCTGATGCTGTGGAGGTACAGTGACGCCAGCTTGTAATGTCGTGCTAGTGGTCGCCGCAGTGCGATGCCTCGGGGTGTAGGTAGCGTAACGGGCTCCAGACGTAGGCGACGAGTTGTTCATATCCGTAGTCAGCGGCTGGACTGTCGAAGTAGATACTGGTGGTGGTGGAGTATGTGACGGCGATAGTAACGGATGTGCAGTCAGGCTTTCACGACTTGCAGCAGTGAGAGATGGGGAGGGCGAAGGAGATCGGTGCAGGGCAGCGCCTGACGCACGGCCGATCGAACTCGCAGGGAACCTGCTCTCACGCGGAGCGCTCATAGCAGGAAATAGAGGGAAGATAGGTTTCTATGGCAGATGTTGGCTGAAAGGAACAGGGAGGCTTTGGCCGATTCCAGTCAGGTCGTGGCCGTCAGTGATCAAGCATGCCGCTTGTGGGCGTTGCGCCCGCTGCGCGTCAGCCGTCCACACTTCGCCACATGCCACCATCATCCCCGCACTCGGCTCTCTGACTTCTGACCTCACATTGATCGCTGTGCTCACTCATCTGATACCTTACCATCTTGCTACTTAACCGCTCGTACCAGACTTTCAACAGACGCGGCTCTATTCTAAACTCGGTAGCAGAGTTATTATGACGACCAGACCTGGATCCCCAGCCCCACCTCCTCTTACGGGAGAAGAATACGAAGCTCTTGACGCTTACCGCTTTGCTATGCTTACACATGAACACGCAGGCTCCTACTTCCCAAGGTACCCTTTCACTTTGTGGCACAACACCCTGTGGCGAATCACAATATATTCCTAGTACTTCCGAACTACAGAAGGACATGGAGCCGAAGTCCTTGATCGACGCCAGGAACTATGTGACTCGCTTGAGGGAGCGCTACACCCATGAACTCGACGGGATCATAGACGATCAGGTAGAACGGTACTACGAGGACGCATTGGATCGCTACCATGCTTTCGACCCAACAATAGCCCCACCAATTGACAATCCAGAGGATTGGCCGCGTGATTACACAGATAATAAATTTAAGGTGAAGAAGCTATCTCTCAATCTACAAGAGCCGACGCTGATACTTCCCGCTCCAAGACCATCTACCACGACTCGAAATTCCACAACCCTACGCTCCTCCTCTCCCAATTCAACACCGAACTCACCACAACCTTCATGGCTCACACAGAGCAGGAACGCCCGTACCTTGAACGTCTGAAGATATTCCAAGAGCGGGAGTCGGCTCGATTGAAGAGGGAGAAGGAGCAAGCGGATCAAGCTCGCATAGAAGCGGAGAAGAAGTTCCCGCGTACGGTCCCAGACTGGGAGAACATCTCTAACGCGACGAGGAAGCTATTCCTCGCTCGATTCTTCACGTTCACTCTTGCCGAGAAGGAGGAAAATATGAAGAAGCAGACCCCGCCGTGGACTTGGGATGATGTCGATCCTCTATGCAATACGTATAAGGCGGATGTATGTCTTCATTGTATCATTGTGGGTATGAATCAAGGCTAATGTGTTTTCCCGTCTCAGGTCAACTTCAGAGAGCGGATTGACAAGTTCATCCAGTCGCACATGAGCACGGATCCTCGCAGGAAACCTACTGGGGCGTGAATATCCTTCATTACATCCCTACGCACGCAGGGTGCCACATTTCAAGAAAGCATTTCGACACGACAGCAAAGCACGAAGCGGCATGAATGCGATATAGACTCAGAAGTTGCTCGAGAAGCACCAAGGCTTATGCAACTTCCAGTCCTTCTTCTGATGTTCTTGGCAGCACTACAAGTTGCGATGTTAGAACATGTAGTCATACAGATGGACAATTGGCAAGTACTTACGTATAATGCGTACTTGCACCTAGCACATTTGAGCAGCGGCTTACGGACGACGTGGCACTGCCAGCATCCGCGGGAGTTGGCACGGAACGCGAGGACTTCTTTCACGTCGGTGATGAGGTCAGGCTGTGGTTCTCTGCAGGAAGCGCGTGAGATCAAGTAGATGCGCGGCGGGGAAGTACCGAGACTCGAAGCTCACCTGCTACCAGTCATGACCCAAAGGCACGAGGCGCAATTCTCTGCTGCAGGATGGCCCTTGTACTCTTTGACCCACCTCTCCAGCAGACGGATGATAGCTCTCTTCAACTTCAAATCAACTTCATCACATCCTTGTCCCAGTAAAAGAAGTATGAGGGTTCTGGACATCAGCCCTACGTCTCCGCGCTGTACTCCAATGGGGAAATCGACCATGAGTCTAATTTGTTGTGCGACGAGACCCCGCGCACTGCTGCTGAGGAGAAACAGCGGGAATATCTCCGTCTCGAAAGCCCTACCAATCGAGACAGAGATGGCTTGAGCGGTGATCCTGTTGACGGTCGGATCTCTCCGTTTGTCGGCCAGAGTTGGCAGGTACTTGGCGGAGAACTCGCTGTAGCGCGTGAGAACGCATATCAAGAAGGATGAGTCACGGTACTCACCACTTAATATGCTCGCTCTCATCCTTTGGGAACCGGTCATCAAGGGTGGTCCACTAAGCACGTTCTCGAGTTGAGTACTGCAAGGCGGAAGAAGTTGGCTGCGGGTAGCCACTCACGAGCTTTCTCAATGTTGCAAGATGTGACTCTGTGGTCACCAGCTCTACTGTCGTCTTATATAGGTTTTCAGGACGGTACATGCCCTGCGAGCGCAAAGCTGCTACCGCTGTCTCGATCATGTCGTCCGCGAACACCCTGCGCATCATGCTGGCCGTTTGTTCCGCCAGCTCAGCTATTTCGGAGTCTTCCATCTTTGTCCCGGTTCCGGAGTGGTTGCTGATGGTGGTTGCTGTCAGAAAAGGCTCCCGTTTAGACGCCCAACATTGCAAGCAACCCAAATGCCTTTCGCAGCCATGCGAAACACGACGCGGCTGTACATCGCGTGACGTCACGCGTATTCTTCGCCAGTATTGTCACGAAAAACTCCCAGTGCCAGTGGCCTCGATCCTGGACAGACATCAATGTGATAGTATGACAAGATGTGTCGAAAAGCAAGGTAGGTAAGATAGCGATATGAGCTGATGACGAGCATGCCTTCAGTCGCTACGGATGGCGTGGGCTCACGACCCGCAGCCACGCCCAATCTCCTAGCGTTAAGTAAGTAGACTCAGAAGTTGCTCGGGTAGCACCATGGTTTATGCGACTTCCATCCCTTCTTCTGGTGCTCTGGGCAGCACTACTCGTCGTAACGTCAATGTCATGCCGTTTGTAAGACAAACATTCGGTTGGCTTACGTATAAAGCATATTTGCATCTGGAGCACTTGAACAAAGGCTGTCCCACAACGTTGCAATGCCAACATCCCTGCGTGTTTATGCGAAGAGCGAGGCATTCCTTGACGTCAGAAATCAAGTCCGGCTCAGGCTCGCTGACGCGACTGCTTCAATTAATGGACATGTCAGAGTCAACGTCGATGCCCACCTACTCCCTGTCAGCAACCAAAGACATGAAGCACAGTTCTCCGCGGCAGGGAAGTCTTCGAATTCCTTCACCCAGTCCTGCAGTCGAGAGATGACATCCTTCTTCAACTGAGTATCAACGTCATCACAACCTTGCCCTAGCAGTAGAAGGACTAGCGTTCGGGACATTTGTCCGACATCGGGGCGTGAAACGCCTATTGGCGAGTTGACCATGAGTTTGGTTTGTTGTGCGACTAGTCCTCGAGCGCTCTTGCTCTGTAGCCAGACAGTGAATACTTCTCTTGGGAACAATCAGTCTATGAAAGCAGAGAAGGATGAGGAACGAACGTTTCGAAAACTCTGCCGACTGAGACTGAAATAGCTTGCGCGGTGATTGGGCTCACGTCCGGGTCTCTCCATTTGTCAGCTAGCGCGGAGAGGTATTTTGTTGAGAACTCGCTGGGTGATGTCGGATTATGTAGTTGTTACGAGTCTGAAGGAATAATATTTCCTCACTATTTTATATGTTCGCTCTCGTCCTTGGGTAACCGCTCGTGAAGAGTCGTCCACTAGACGTACGATGAGCCAATTTCCAAGTTCGCACTGCTCCACATCCAGTAGGAAGTAACGTACAATGTGCATTAGGAACCTGACACGGTCTTCACTATTTGCCTCCTCTACAGTCATGGTGTACAGTTTGTCGGGTGTGAACAAGCCTCGTTCACGGTAGGAGTCGACTGTAACTTGGATCAGGTCGTTTGCAGCCATTTCTCCCAGTTTCGCCATCCGGGCCTCCATTTCAGGCGGAAGAGAGGAATCATTCATGACAGTGGATGTCACGAGTCAGTGGCGAACAGATTGCTGGTGGTGGTCGCGGAGCAAGAAGGCTTAGACCATGTCGCGGTCGACGCGCGACGCGTCGTGCGTTTGCCATGCTTCGCGTGACGTCACGCGTACGTCTTAAGTACTATGGCTTACTCGCATGCCCACTACCGGAAGAACGCAGCGCGCCGCAGACCATGATCAACATGAAAATCACACGCTATAGCGAGAGGTACAGTGGGACAGAGCATGAAGAGCTACAAGAAAGTAGAGTAGTATTACACAGGTATGACGCACAGTAGCTGACGTCTCCCCTCCTTTTCGGCTTTGACCATACTCGAGCACTGAGGTCAAGCCTGACAAGACCAGTCGAGTGAATATTGGGGCTGGACTCAAAGATCAGCGTCATTGGAAGGGTCGGCTTCGATGGAGAGCTCTGGCTCGACGGCAGACTCCGCTTGGCCGGAAGGCCCTGCCTCGATCGCGGGCACATTGATAGCGTCGAAGTTGGTCTCGAAGCACAACTTCTTGTGTTTGGACCACGCTGCTTTTTGGTGGGCTTGGTCGCACTGCAACGTCGACAAGGCAAGTAAGTACGAAACTTCGTAGATTGTTACATCACGCACGTATCCGGTCGTCTTGCACCTATGACTACCATGAGCGATGTATTGAGAATAGGTCTTGATTAGCCTACCTCCCACAACGCTGTAGACCAGAAATGACTTGACACCCTGGTGCTCCGCACTCGTCGAGAGATCGAAGAAGCATCGTCCTCACCATCTGCATCTCCGGTACGCTGGCAACGCTTCAGACTCAGGCATGGGCGGAGATACCGAAGGAACTCACCGGTCGTTGGTGAGCAACGAGATGACGCGATCGCTGGCTTCAGAGGCAAGTCGACCACGGAACTTGGACATGGACCTCCAAGTCTTCAGCTTCGGGAGAAGAGCATCCTTGTCGGCGGCATCGACGTCGTCAGTACCTTGCACGAGGAGAAGCGTCGCGAGGAACTGATTGGTCTCCGCCACACGGTCGGGATTGGCTTCTTTGGTCAAGTCGTCGGCGAATTGAGCCACGCGTTTCGTATGTAGAGCTGCCAGACCTGCTCCAGCAGGAGTACGTAGGAACCTCACGAAGTAAGGACTCAAGAGCAGGTGTTAGATTATGTCCGGGACAACGTAGAAGAACCAGACGAACGTATACGAAGCCGAGTTCAACACTCGTGCTGCCGGGGGCATGGGTCCAGACTCATCGGTACGCCAATATTCGGCGAGTTGCGGCGAGTACTTCGCAGTCATCTCGCTGCGTTCAGCTCAGCTTAATGCGTTCGTAGCTTGATCCAGGCGACGGACTCACAACCAGATGGGATCACGTAAAGCAGGTGGTAGCTGCTGCATGTATCCAAGCTACTGCCCCCATATCAGCTGCGACAGCAGATGCCTACAGATACCCATGCTTGCCATGAGCTCCATGTCATCCGCGGGACTTTCTGCGGCAGTCTGCCCGACCGCGGTCATGTACAGGCTCTTCGCAGACAGTATACCCTCGTTCGCGAACTGGATCGCTTGCGCGACGATCTGGGACTGCATGATATTCACAGAGAGTTTGTATGAGTCTATCTGATGTGGCGAATACCAACAACTCTCGCTGTTGGGTGCGCAAGATGATGGTCAGGACGAAGTGGGAACGCGACCTGCACGCGCTCTGCGATCATCAGCGTGCCGTCGGCAACACCCGAGCAACCAAGTTCAGTTATCCAGACACTGCATCGAACTTCTACGAGTCCAGCAGAAACGGGCCCACCTCCATGAGCATCACCGTAGACGGCCTCGACAATGCATCGCGGAACACCTACACGCTCTAGAAATCGCCGAGATGATCATGTTTCGTTGTGGTACTATAGATATCCCCGCGCGGATGTTGAGAAGTCGAGATCGACAGAACATCGTGATGAGATTGCACTACTGTACACAGCAATACAGGCCACCAGGACGTGATCGCAGAGATGCGAATAAGTTACAGAACGTGCGATGATACAGCCATAGGATACAAGAAAAGTGCGGGTTGAGTGAGGGAGCGTGACGCGGTGATGCAAGGTAGGGATACAGTCAGAGGAAAATGCAGGGGAAGTGAAGATCCAGATGCCAGGGTATACCACCAGAAGAAAGAGACAGAGGAAAGAAAAGTAGTAGTGTCTCGCAGGCCACTAGATCGTAAGCCGCCCGCGTCGCTTATTGTCCATAACGTTCTCCTTCCGCAGATGGCTCACGTCGTCAAACACAGCGCGACTCTGCACGACGCCCCGACCCCAAGTCCTATCATCGACGACACTTGCGCTAGCCTCGAGCTTGAACATCCTTGTATCCCTATCACGGAACAAGGCCAGAGGCACGGGCGCCCAGATCTTGAGGAACCATTGTCCAGCACGTTGTGGGTTCACCTGCCATTCGCTACCACTGACGATGCCAAGGCTCGAATCGAACTCTTCTTTCAAAGCTTCGAGTTCCTTGCCTCGGCGAACGGTATTGCCGATGTGGGATGTCGTGTAGAGAGGTGCTTCATGACCTTCGTAAGAGTGCGTGGAGAGACGGATGTCGAGGTCTTCGATCGGGAAATGGCTTGAGTCTCTGAGGCGATCAGTGACGGAGACGAACGCAGCCCATGCGTGAACGTGGCTGCAAGTATACATCAGCTATCGATTCATTCCAACTAAGATGAAGCACTAACCTATCGTCCTGATCCCATAGCTCCAAATGCTTATCGCGGACCGCAACCGTAAGAATGTAGCGATCCTCCGGCTCATCTCCCACCGAGTCTGCAGATGAAGTAGACGCGTGGTCGTTGATCACAAGCTCGACCTTTTCAGGTTTAGTGTCGAGAGAGAACGGAGGTGGTGGCGTAAGCGAGCGGACAGGTCTTGTCCGGATGGAAGAGAGAGATGGACGGCGGGAGATGAGGTTGCGCGCGCGGCTGAGCATGGAGGACGAGCGTGAGGTTGGGAGTGGGATGCGGGACGGGTACGGCAGAAGATCGTCCTCAGGTGTTACAGGTTTGAGCGGAGCAGGCGGAGCCTCATCCCGGGCGATCTTGACGTCGCGTATTGATGTCGAGGACGAGTTGAGGTTGCTGACACGGCGCAATGCGCGCGCGCGAGCGCTGTTCTCGGGCATCTCGATCCTGCCCATAGCATTGGCAAGATTCGTCATGCTCGAGTTCTCCCTCTTGAGTTTCATAACGCTCGACTGGCGCGATAGGGGTCGAGCAAACTCGGTGGCTCTGGGCGTAGGCGTTTCCATCGCCGGCGCACCCCTGAGTGTCTCCACAGACGACGCGGTCTTCAGCGTCTTGACCGACATCATCGAGGATGTCGAGCTCAGCCGCTGCCGCGCTCGCGGCGGGCGAAGTATCGAAGCATCTTGACCCTCAGAGTTCTCGTCGCTGTCGCGGCGAGCGCGCTTGCGCGAGGCGTTAGCGCCACCACTCAGGCCGACGCGACTTTGTTGGCGCATCACGGTCCGTGTAGGCAAGACTTTGGCCGTGGATGACATAGTAGGAGAAGCAGCGCGAGAGAAGCGCGAGGAACCACCTGCGGCGGTGGAAGTGGCAGTGGCGATGACGGGAGTGACCGACGCCGGCGACGGCCGCTTCTTAACGATAACGGGCGGATAAGGGCGAGAGAAAGGAGTGGAGGATCCGCGAGAGGAAGCCATGCCAGATGGGGTCGTCAGAGCGTTAGTAACGGGCAAAGCGCCAAAAAGAGGCGAAAGGGATGGTACAACAACGGGAGGGAATACAACGTCGAGTTCGGGAACCTACGTGCGGGCGATCTCTTTATATCCCCTAGCGCCCTCTCACGTCTTATATGTGGCGTGCCACACGCGGAATTGCGGCCGCAATCGCGTACCGCCATTGTTCTCCGTCAAGGACGGGGTGTGACCCGTTGATCGTGATATCATGATAGGCGGGGGTGTGGATGAAACGTACCCTGGGCCGGCGATGAGCATGGTCGACGGACAAAAGGCGAACAAGGCCTTACCACTTTGGGACCATGATTATTGTGAGCCGTGGGTTCCATGAAATCGTTCTAGATCGCCCGTCAAATCACGGTGGTGGAGGCGACAACAATACTCTCAGGACACCGTCCGGCTAAGTTCAGCTGATGCTACTCATTGGTTGAGGTCACTCAGATAGTAGATCGAGGCGCAAAGAAGACTGCATGCATAACCGGGCATGGCATATGGGGCATGTAATTTTGTGCAATGTGGATGAGGGAGTGAAAGCTAAAGCGTGGCAGGCGATGATACAGAGAATGACATGCTTCCAACCCCTTATGCACTCTGCGAGGGCCGCGTGATCTTCTTCGCGACGGTGTTCTCGCTGTAGGACGGGCGTCAGTGAACACGCCTTCCAGGTAAAGACTATTTGCCACTGACCGGAAGCCGTTCTTGAAGCGGCGAGAGACCGTCTTGAGGTAGCGCATGCGGCCAGAGCCGGTCGTCTTTCGGCGCTTAGCCTTCTGACCCCACTCGTACGACCGCAGCTTGGCGCGCGGGTAACCGCACTGAGCGCACTCTGTACTCCATTCAATATTTTGACCCGATATAATCCATGCGAGCATGACGCACCCTTGTGCTGCTTGTGGAAGGCACGGGTACCGCAGCGGCGGCAGAGCGTGTGCGACTTTGTGTGGCGCTTACTGTAGCAGGGTATGAGGAAAATGTGATTGATATCGAGGCAAAATTAAGAACGCACCCGAAGGACGAAGTACCTATTCATCGCAACAAGTTCAACCCGTCAGTATTCCTGCAATCCTAGCATGTAGCAATAGTATCGAACCTTTCGTCTAGAGAAAAGGATCAGTAAAGTGTATGAAACGAGGAAAGGCCGGGAGAGCATAGGTCGTGCAAGTCCATCCGTCGCGAGACCGATCCATCCAGCCCTCAATCCACCCAATTTTCCTCCCAACAGCACTCAAACAGACAGTATACACAACCATAGCTCATCCCAGCAGCATGACGACGTACCATGGCGAATCTTGAGGCGGAAGCGCTGTGGGCGGGAGGGGGTAGGCGGCGCGCGCGACAGACGAGGGCGGGCGCTGAATGTGGGAAAGTTATTTCCCCCGCGGACTTGTCCTTCCGGCTTTCTTCCTCCACGAGCGACCATGTTTTCCGAGCACCTTCAGTTGCATATAATGTTCCCAGCACCCATGCGTTGAATTACTGTATATGCTCCACTCTTCTCTCTGCCTTCTCGGATTCTCCTCGTTGACAGACGACTTGTATCAGCTCTCACTCTTAGTTGACGCTCACTGTGATGACGACCGTACAAGGCAAAGTCTGTTTTGCCCTATAATAAGGGCAGCCTACCTCTATGCGTCACTGCGCCTTCAATGGCAGGTTGTGTAGCGAACGTATAGCATCGTAGCGGTCCAAATCTGCTTCACAACCAGGAATAGGTCGTTACTCCCGCACCGGTACTGTTCGCGGCTCGCAGCAGTAGTACTAGCCGTATGTCACCGCACGATTGAATCCTGTCCTCGGAGAACCGAAGTTCCTCATTGCAACGCGCGATATTGTATAGCATCTTGCCTTCTTTGCACTGCTGTCTCGCGCTCGCCGACACGCCGAAGCTAGCCCGAACGCGCGGTGCCTGGTGTCTTCGCGACTCTATTAGGGGGCATAGCCCTCCCGATCACAATGTCCTACTTATAGCTCTCCGCTATTTTCTCAACCCAACCATCACCAACGCCTCCCTCGACTGCACAATGGACGATAAACGCGCCCTCGAAGCCCACTATGCCCGTGCCGACGCCGCGCACGCTGCCGGCCCATCTGAGCCGCCACCCGCATACTCTCTCGAGCGCTCCCCTTCACGCTCATCTTCAGACTCATCTCGCTCGTCGGCCGTCTATGAACCACAAACACCCCTTCCGCCGCCGCCGGTCTCACAAGCGCCGCCGCCAGCAACTTGCAGACTCTACCTCTCCACCCAGCGCGACGCAATCTCGGGCACCTACGTCCTAGACCCCTACGCCCCAGAGATCGCCTCGCTCGATCGCCTCCGCGATAAGCCACGCCTCCCTCGCGAGGCAAAGCGCGCGCTCAGAAGGAACGCAAAGCCGAGCGTAGCGCTCGCGTCCAGGCGCGGACACATCAACGTCCGATTGCTTGTGCAGAACCCCGCGCCGTTCACGGGTGGCGCCGTGCACCCACAACCCGCGCTCATATGCGCAGATGCAAGACGAGGGAACATCTACCTCGACATCGTACGCATTCTCTTTGCATTCTTCGCCTCGCAACCTAACCTCATATGCACAGGCCGAGAAGACCCCCAACCGCCCTATAACGGTATACACCTCCTCCCGTCGGGGTTCCACGACCGTCCTTCTACCCTTCAACTTCAACGGCACAATTGAGCTCCACACGCGCCATGGCCAGACCGACATGCTCCCTGGGCTCGCCCAAAACGCGCGCGTCATCCGCGCACGTTCGAGGGAACTGCACCTTGCCGTTGGCGACGCCACGGGTCAGGACTTCGTACGCCTCGACTCGCGCCATGGTCCCATCCGCATCGGCGCGAGCGGCATAGACGACGGAAGAATCATGCCAGCACTTGCGCATAACAACGCGGCAGGCCCCAGCAGTGCACCTCTCCGACCGACTGGTGGTCCAGGGATGCCAGGCGGTATGCAGATGGGTATCGGCGCGAAACAGTTCCGGTTCTAGTTGATACTTTATAATCCGTGGTTGTGAGTATGTACATTATAGCTTCGAGTGGACCCTACGTGAACGAGAGATATCGTGTTTCGTGTCGTTCGGGATTGGTAGTCCGGGTGGCGAGTAAGGTAATGCTACAGACGAGGAGACTAGCGAGAGCGAGGTGGACGAGGGGTATACAGTGTCAGTAAGGCTACACAGATGCACAGAGAGCGAGCGGGCGAGCAAAACGAGCGTATTCCAAGCGGAGGGAGCATGAGGCATGAAATATCCATAGACGAGCATAGATGAACGACCAAAACGAGTGGGCGTGTTGCTATACTGTGAGATGTCCCTTGAGCTTGTTCACCCGCCCGCGCTTGAGCACCTGCGAAAGCGGCTCCTCGGATGAGTCGCGAGAGAAGCTGGACTGACGGACGAGCTCTTGCGTCGTCGGCGTCTGTATTGGTATCGGCGTGTGCATCTGCATTGGCGTGTACATTTCCGGCGCGTACGTCTCCTGCGGGTACATCTCCTGCGGTTGTTGCGGGGAAGGAGACGGCATCGTTGAAGCTGTGCCCACAGGCTTGCCCTCGAACGGCGTTGTGGGCGGCCTCCCTGTCCGCTTCGAACCATTGCGCATGGCGGACGTGACAACACCCTTGCACTTCGCGAAATGCCTCGTCAGTGCATCCTGTCTTGAGAACGCCAGCCCGCACGCATCGCAGCGATGTTGCTCCAGGTGCATATGCGCATCCAGCAAATGCCTCGTAAAGCTCTTGCCCATCATGCTCTTCCCACATCCGTGCCATCCGCATTGGTACTTCGCATTGCTGGTGCCAAAGTCGACGCCATGAGCAGCCTTGAAATGGCCAATGACGGCGTAGTGCGTGGTATTATTCGGCTGATAGCTCTTCCGAGTCGAATTGGGTGGCGACGGCCGCTCAAACAGCGCGCCGCAATCGCCCCATCGGCACACGACGAAGCCGGCGGGGTCGCCATCAGGTGCGCCACCGGGCAGCGGCCCGATCACTCCGCCGTGATGGGAAGGTGGCGGCGGCTCGATTTTCGTCGCCACTTGCGGCCGCGGGATCGGGACCTGAGGCGAATACGGGTATTGATACGGATGTTGGTAGGGCTGCATGTGTGGATGGACGTGCTGCTCTATCCGAGTAGGCATGGTCATGGGCATGAGTCGAGCATCGAGCTGCTGCTCTTCCTCGTCATCAATGTCATCCATCTCGCAGTCGTCGTCTACGCGACTGCGGGGATAGACTAACGTGTGAGCTCGAGCTGGCTGGAGCCCATCCGGCGAAGGCGTGCGCGGGGGCGTCGAGGAGAGCTGGGTTAGTGGGCTGGTGGAGCGGACGTTGGCCGGAGCGACATCGGAGCATGATGAAGCGGCGCTGGAATAGATGCCGTTGAAACTTGTGGCGTAGGTGCTGGCCGGGCTGGGATCGTCTGGCGTGTGCAAGCGATACCTGTACGCGTTATCGTCGCCCTCACTGCGCTCGTCCTCGTCGTCCGAGCCGGCCAGCTGGGTGCGGAGCGAGACGTCGTACTGCCTGTTGCGGAAGCGCGGGTGGGTGTGGCCCTTGGCTGATGGTCCCCCGGCAAACGCCGGCGAATCAGTGCGCTCACGCTTGACAGGCACGGGCGTCGCCGACGTAGAGTCGCCCCTGCGCTCCATCAGTCCCAGCGCCTGCAGCGACGGCAGAGGCTCGGGCGGTGCAGGCGACGTCGCGACGTCCCGGTAGCGTGTTGCGGGCGTGTGCGCACGGCTATGGTCGGATCCAACCGGCGACGAGGCGCTTTCCGTCGTCAGAGCGTCTCTTCGTGTAGCTCGGATACTCCGTTCCGGGCGGTCGCCACGCATCTTGTCTAGCCTGGCAACCCGTGGTGAGGGATGTTGGACGTCCAGGTCTTGGGAGGAAGTGGCCGACGACGAGGACAGTGGTGGCGGAGGGTGACCGGATAGTGGCGCCACGTCTGTGGCACCTTGATTGGTGTTGGTGTTATTCGGTTGGGGGCTCATTGTCGTTATCCTGGGAAATAGAGCAATCCGTGCCGGGTGTTCGTCGATGTGGCCAGCGGGCGGATGTGGCGGACAGCTGGCGGACGGTGGGTGGCGAGGGAGAAAAGGAAAGAAGCGAAGCCGCGATCAGCGGGCCATCCTAAACCACAGCCTAGGGGTGCGCCACTCGTGCTCACCTCGCTACCGCACGCACGCGCGCCGAATTAGACACTTCGGATTCGCAGCCTCGAGGTCGTCTGCCGGCACACACCATCAACCTTCTGTCCCGTGGAGGATCGAACGGAAGGACACACACCTCGGCGAACGAACGTCTGCCATCGTACACAACGTACGCAAACAATACGTTAACACAAGGAACGGCGGGAGGGC